GCACGTGCGCGCACGCCCGCGCACACCCGCGCACGCCCGCGCACACGTGCGCGCACGCCCGCGCGCACGCCCGCGCGCACGCCGCACTACGCGGCACTGCCCAGGTTCCCTCACGCTCAGATTCCCTCACGCTCAGATTCCCTCACGCTCAGATTCCGTGCAAGGGGGTGCCGAGGTATGCCGCAGGCCGGGATGGAGTGAGATCTTGCGGGGCAGGGCGTGGGCTAGCGCGTGAGGGCGCAGGCAAGTGCCCGAGGGTATGGGGGTGGGCGCCACCCTGGGGCTACCCGTAGCATTGTCGGCTCAGTGATGGGTGTCCTATTACGTGCCAATACTTGGGCGCCTATTCGGCGCCCAAGGTGCCAATATTGGGGATCTAGGTGGCGAGACGTGCCACTGCACAGGGTGTGGGAATATAGGGATATAGGTAGACTATTCATCACTGTGGGGGGGGGAGAGAGTGATAATAGGGGTGCTGAGGTGGGGCTGGGTGGAGGTGATTCTCCGGGTCAGTCTGGAGGTCATTCTCCACAATCTCCTGCGACAGAGACACAGCAACGACAGTCAGAGAAGTCAGCGCTGGGTCCCAGGAAGGCGAATGCGATGACGGCCTCTAGCGTGAGCTCTAGCTAGTGTTCATGTTCACACCGAGCAGCTGTGGAGCGGCTGCGGCAATAGCAGACAGGGGAGGCCAGTAGCCTTTACCAAGAAACAAGTTCGAACCGAGCGCCAGCACCAGAGACGTCTCCCCCTCCCCTCCCCCCCGTCTGAGCAGAGCGGGCTGGGCGGGTGAGCCGCCCTGATGCTTGCGTCGCCGCCCTGTCCCGTTGTCAGCGATCTCCGTGCGCTTTCCTGTCGAGTGTACATCGCCCACGCGGCTGTGGCTGCCACGCCCCCAATGCTTCATCAGCTCGGCACTGTCAGGCAGGGGTCCCTCTCAGAAATTTGTATTTTTGAAATACAATCCTCTCGTCAACTTAGATCTTAGTTCTGATCAACCTAACCTAGAGCCTCATCGTCAAGTAGCCTTGGCTGCTTCTCACATTGCAATATAGCTTGGCTGTTTGCCTACCCATCGTTCCACTGTTTTTCAATACTAGCGTAGCGGCTCGTGGATGAAATACTAGGAACAATACACCTACCAGGAACACATCTCAATATTTAAAAAGACATGAACACGCCTGCGTGGATCGCGTCACACCAATCCTCGCTACCCAACGCGGCCAAAGGATATCCACCTCGAGAACTGCGCAAACTGAATTCTTTCCGAGGCAGGCCGTCAGCGCCCTCGTCGTCGCGCTGCCAGCCAGCCAAAGCGCGGTCGAGCACAGAGTTGTCCTCGAGCTCTCGTCGGCCGGAGACACGGGCTCGCGCGGACGGATGGGCGACGAGGGCGTGCGGCCCGAGGCGGCCGGCTGGGTCCCGAGGCTGGGCGGCGGGCACCAGGAGGTGGATCGGATCCTGGACGAGCTCGAGCAGATCTACGCGTCGCAGCCAAACGAGTGGCTGGTCGCCGACCCGATCGCGTCGATGGTGATGCGTGAGGAGGGCTACGAGGACGAGGACGAGCTCGAGGACGCGCTCGGCGGCTCGTGGGAGGCGTTCCTCGGCGGGATGCCCCACATCGAGGTGCGGCGGAACGCGCGCGACGACCTCGAGTTTAAGGTGCTCAAGCCGGACCCGGACGCCCCGCCGCGGCGGCTCACCCTGCGGGTGGACTCGCGGGACGACCTGTGGCGGGTGCTGTTCAAGGCGCCCGAGGCGACCATCCTCATCCCGCACCTCGAGTTTGAGATCGGCGCCGACCACAAGCGGCGCGTCGACACGCTGTACAACTACATCGCGGCGGCCGAGTGGAACCTGTCGTCGCACATCCGAGGCCGGAAGGACCTCGCCGCCGAGTACGTCGTCGCCATCAGCGAGACCGTCGAGCAGCTGCTCGGCCTGCTCGACGTGGAGCAGCCCTTCGACTTGGTGCTCAACGACCCCGCGGGCGCGTCCATCTTCAAGCCCGACCACGGCGTCGCATCGACGCCGCTGCAGCTCGAGCCCGCCGCCCGGCCGCCCGCGGCGGTGATGGCGGACATGACGGAGGAGGAGGAGGCGGAGGCGCTCGCGGCTGAGCTGGCCGCCCTCACGGCAGAGGAGGGCGGGTCATGACGCGAGGGCGGCGGCCGCCTGTCGGAGGCGCCGCTGCCGGACCTGGGGTGGAGAGGGTGCGGGGCGGGTGTGAGATGGGGGGGCGAGGGCGGCGGCGGGTGTTTGGGCAGCGGCGCCCGGGATCGACCCACGACCTTCCCGTCCGAGGGGGCGGCGCCCTTCGCCAATGTTTCGGTCTCGAGTGTTTACGCTACAAACCCATTTAAGGACACTACCCTCCGACACGTGTGCACTGGCGGGAAAAAAATGTTACATGGAAGGAGGCTGCCAGAGACGAGAGAGGTGAAGAGCGTGAAGAACATATACAGCGCGCCGGCGCCGCGTCGCCGAGGGTGGAGACCTGTTTGCTCCATCCATGCTCTCTCGGCTCCTGCTTCACGTCCCGCCGCGGAGTCGAGCCGTCGTCGTCGCGCCGACTGCATACCGCAGGTCCGCGCTTTGGCTTGGTCATATTCTGAGAAGGGTACTGGGTGGAAGCACTTGTCGGCTGCGTCTGGCGCCCCAAACTCTTGGCGAACCGAGAGACCTCCATCTCGACCGCTCGCCGCTGGCGTCGCCTGTCTTGAACCTTTTGGGCACGCGCAGCCGCTTTCCGTGCCTCCCGCCATTTTATAAGCATCTGCCTGCCCAAGTGCAGCGCCGCCGGGATGAGAGCCACGGACAAGATGCATAGCATCGTGGTCAGCGCCTGCCTCTTCTCCTTCCAATAGTCGATCTCGGCGTCGACGTCGACGAGCTCCAATCCGGGCGCCTCGAACCAGCCCCCGTCCGGAGTCCGGGACAACGTCATCCACACACCAATTGTGGAAGCCAGCTTCTCGCCGAATCTGCGCCGCGACTTGACACTGATGCGCGCCGGATTCCACGCCATGGCGTTGGGCACATGGAGGTAGCCCGTCTGGCGGCTGCTGAGAGCGTCGCCAAGGTGCGACTCGTCTCCGATGAACCAGGAGCCTTGAGCAGCAACGTAGCGCAGATGGCACTTGCCGCGGAAGCACCGGTCGACGCTCTCGTACAGCGGCCGCCGGTCGCAAAGGCCGCCTGGGACTCTGACGTACTCTCCGAGACCTATGCCCACACCTGCGTCAGGTAGCGCGCCTTGCAGCCGCACGCGCTTGGGTGATGCGTCGGCTTTGGCTTGGATCCAGCGCTCGTGGGCCGCGGCGGCGGCGGCTCCTTCCTTGCCGGTGAGCACTTGCAAGGCGGGTGCGGCGACCCAGCCCTCCTCGACTGCATACACACCCCAGACCCCAGTGATCTCCGAGGGCGTGGCCGCGTCGTCGAACACGGCCAGCTGTTCCAAGTGGCTGCTACCCATGGACGCCCGCTTCCCTATGGTCCACGCTTGCCCTGCTGAGCGGTTCAGCACGTACATGACAGCATCCGGCTTTTGTCGGTATTCGCGGCATCTCCATTCTTTCAACCCGTAGACCGGCTTCTCTAGGTGATAGCCCTCCAGAACATATTCGCCCAAGAACTCATCGTGCAAGTTGCTTGGCTGATGCCCCACGAGGTAGATGCTCTTCGGGGGCGCACCATGAGACGAATGCAGGTTGGCGAACCTCCGTCCGGCCTCAATCAGCTGGTGTGCATCCATCAGCTTACTCGGCTAGTCCGTCTTCACGGTGGGGGTGAGTTGCACCACTGCCTTCCGCCGGAACCACTCACCAATCGCAGCGAGAGAGAATCTCGCAACGCCCTTCACCACGAGCCGACCGAGAATCGGGCGCCGGAACTGCGTAAAGTGAAATTTGGCGGTTGCTCCAACGCAATGCTTGGGCGTGCCGTCCTCCCATCCCTCCCTTGAACTTTCTTTCTTTCTTTTCTGCAATGCTTGGGCTTGCCCGCCAAAAGAAACAATCTTGCTTGGGCCCTCGGGGCCTGCGGGCGGCCTTCTCTCGAGGTCTCGAGATACACAAAGAAAGCGGCCAATGCTTGGGCCAGGACGAAAAGCGTGCAGCGAGCAGCGTGGCGGCGTGGGACGCAGCCTGCTCGTAGGCAACCATGGACCGAGGCTGTGAATGAAGCTCGGCACGTGCGAGTTGGCGCGAGTTGGCGCCGCTGGGGTAGGTGGTGGGTGGGGGGGGCTCATGTCACCCGCACCACCAGGCAGGGATCGACTTCCCGGTCGGTTACGAGAAAACGATCCCGCTACCTACCTACCTTTACCAAGATCTGTAGCACCTCAAACCCCGCTCTGGCTATCCACTATCGTATCAACCTAAGCGACAGACCCCTAGCTAGACTGGCGAGGTACTTCCAGCCTGCTGTGGGAACAGCTGAAGCCGCTCGCCCCAACACTCGGATTGATTGATAGGAAGGCGAAACACACACAGTGGGTTGCGGGCATTAAGAAAACGTGGCATTAAGAAACCACGCCGAGCGATTTCCGCGAAAATCTAAGAAACCACGGCGCGCCGCAGGCGCGGCCCCGAGAAAAGGCCAGACACGCAGACACGAGTGTGAACGGGAGCCCCAGCTCAAAATTTCTCTTTGCCTGCGGCGCGCGCACTGGTCACTTTCCATCCACGTCTGCGGTGTTCTGAGTGGAGTGCGAGTGGGTGGTGGCGTGTGTGCGTCTTCCCGTCTTCCCGTCATCCAGAGAGCCGACTCGGCGGCAGACTCTGGCATCGCCCTCGCGGACCAGTCGCGGACCGCAGCTTACCTTTTACTTATAAAAATCGTTCGGGCCGGCGCTCTGGCTCCAAGTGCTCCAAGTGCTCTGGCTTGATTGAGTGCCCCGGCCGGAGCTAAGAAACCACGGTGTGGGGTGGGTGAGGGCTGTGGAAAGGTCTAGAAACGGCGGCGTGCCGCGGAATCCTGTTTTCTTAATGCCCGCAACCCACTGCAGTCCGACCAACGGCCAGCCTGACTGTTCTTCACCTTTCAGCTTTCTACCTAACCCTAAGACTAAAACCCCGAGAGTCCCCCCCCCCCCCCCCGGGCGTGGGAGTACCGCGCCAGCCCCTAGCTAGACGGCAAGGAGCCGGAACCAGGCTGGGCTCCGGCTCCTAGCCTTGGAGCACTTGCTTGGCCAGATAGGGGGTCTGTGAGTGAGTGAGTGAGTGACACACACACACACACACACACACACACACACACAGGGGGTCTGTTCTCTGTTGACCATGACTCCAAGGGGCCTCTAAAAGGGGACGGAACCGAGCCGAGTGGCGCGCGACCTTGTTGGCGCTAGGGGCGACCCAGGCTGCGGCCCTGAATTGCACAACACGGCGTGCGCGCATCGTCGTCCATGTCGCGTCTCGAGTCCGTCGACGGCGTCCGTCCAGTCGAGTTTACGTGGCTGCAGGAGCCGGAGGCGTGGATGCCCGACGCGTACGACGAGGGCACGAGAGGTCAAACCGCGCTGAAGAGCCTGCGCCGCATCGTCTACAAGAGGGAGTCGCCGGCGCCACTGCCGAGCGACGAGACGACCAGCGGGCCGGCTGCGCTGTACCTGCAGCACGCGCTCTGCCCCGCCCGGGTGAGCCCAGCCACCATTCGCACGATCGCGCTCACGTGCAAGTCGTGGAACCGTTTCGCCAAGTTCACTCTCCAGTCCGCCGACTTCGACGCGTATTGGAAGCGCGTGCTGTGGGGCATGGCGCCCCGCAGCATGCTTCACCCGGAGTGTGCGAGCAAGGAGAGGCTGCGCGGGTGGCTGCGCGGCGTCGACGAGCGCGAGTGGCTCCACGTCGAACGCCTCGCCGCTCTTCTGTGCCATTTCTGCAACATCCATCCGCCCAAGCGTCTCGCAACCGACGGACAGGCGGCGGCCGCTGTCGACTTCGAAGGCTGGATGCGCCTGCACTTCGACCCGTTCGTGGCCGACGGTGGCGAGAACATCTCCGAGGTGGAGCAGGAGAGAGAGGCGCGGCGTCGGCGCGGCGAGGTGGACTGGGACGGAGAGCACATCATGACGACCCTGGCGAGCCGTGTTTGCTACAGTATTCAGGACTTCGTCGAGTGGTCCTTCATGCTGAGCGGATCTGCCTGCGGCTCCTCCACCCCTCGGACACTGCGCTGGCTCCTCGGCCGCCTAAACATGCGCTTCCCCACATCGGGTGGCACCGGCCGGAACCAGTGGCCATGCAGCGAGGCGGACAACACGGCGCTCGTGCGTCTGCTCAAGCTCTACGCCCCGATGCTGCCTCAGCGCGCGGACAGCGAAGCCGCGCTTGACTTCCGTGAGGAAGGCGACGACGGCGAGGAGGCGGGCGGCGGCGGCGGCGACGACGACGCGCCCGAGCCCGTGCGCGTGCTCTGCCGCCTGATGGATGCTGAGGACCCGTGGAATCAGCGAGGAGGATCGTACTCGTTCTATGAGGAGTCGCCCTACTATGAGCGCCCGTACGACGACGACGACGACGACGACGACGACGACGACGACGACGACGACGACGACGAGGAGGACGACGACGAGGAGGAGGACGAGGAGGAGGATGAGGATGGCGTGGGGTACTACGACTGACGTGCTGTAGCGATTGAGCCGAGCAGGCGCCAGGGCTGAGCAGGCGTCGTGCCCCCCCGGGTCGCAACACACACCGCGCCTCGGCCCGCGCAGGGTTCGAGTACGCCGTCGAAGGCAATTTGTCCCGCTGCAAGCTCTTCAAGGGCCCCATCCTCTCGACGCTGCCCGTCGGCGGCGCGCGCTGCTACAAGAAGGCGTCCAAGACGGAGCTCGGGCCACAACAAGCGGCTTTAGAGGGGGGGGAGAGGGGGGGGGGGGGCCCTAGGGGGGCCGTCGGCGTCCCGATCCTAGGGGGCGCCCTGCGGTGCTTTCGGGCTGGCGCTGGGGGCCGGATCCATGCATGGGTGGCGAGACTCTCTGAGGGATTGACACGTGTTCCGGACTGTCATGTGTCATCTGCTGCGGAATTCCTGCTTGCGATCTTGTTGTGTCGTTGACGGCTCGCCGCTTGGCGGGCCACAGGGCGTCGGGGGGCCTCAGCAAGTGAGAGCCGGGGTGCGGGCGCTGCATGCTTTGGCAAGTAGAGGGATGGAGAGCGTCCGGACTCGGAGCACTTGTACGTGTATGATGTAGGAATGTGAAAAGAACGGACCGCGTCTGGCCGACGCCCCACGACTAGCGCGGTAGAGCGGCTAGCGCGGCATGGGTGGACGCAAGACCTTCATGCCACCTCGCGGTGGGGCGACGGCTTCGCCCGCGCCTTGTAAAAGAAAGAAAGAAAACAGACAACCCAAGGGAGGAAAGAAAGAAGGGGCCCAATTTCTTTTTGTGGTGCCTTGCCTGTCGCGTGAATCGTGTTGTACGCGGCTAAAATTCTTTCCGACTCGCAAAAAAATCGACTCCGATGTTCGCGCCGCACGCCTACGTCACGGTGCACGGCCTTCAGTCGCGCGCGGAGCTCAACGGCCGCACAGGCCGGGTGCTCGTGGGCGGCGCGAAGGACGATGGCCGGATACCTATTCGGGTGCTGGACGAGCGCAACGCTGTGCTTTGCGACGTACGCGTGCGCAGCGCAAACTTGGTCGAGAAGGACACAGCCTTTCTGAATGGCGTGCTCGACGACCGGGAAATTCTCGACCTCATCCTCACCAGCCTGTGGCGCTGGGAGCGGGCCGGCAGGGCATCCGGCGTCTCCCACCTGTGGCGGCGCTCGGCGCTCGAGAGCCAGCAGTTGTGGCAGAATGTCGTCCTCGTGCCAACGAGTTACTCCAAGCCGAGCGCCAAATCGCTCCAGAATAAACTGAAGCGGCTGGGTACGATCTCGTCCGAGAATGCGATCCATCGGCACGTGCACAGCGACTACCTGCCGCTGTGGGCTGTGGAGCTCTCGCCCGCACGCTGGCCGCTGGAGCGGCGCATCCGCTGCCTCTCGCACGAGTCGCACGACGAGACGTGGGACGACCCGGAGCCGGGCGAGGAGGCCGACCAGGAGGCGTGCGACGAGTATTACAGGGTGCGGGATAGCTGGCCGGACCCCGCGCTGTGGATCGAGAAGCTGGTCATCCCAGGAGCGCTGGTGCAGCGCTCACCCGACTATGACGAGAGCGACCCGGTGTGGTCGGGCGTCGCCGACACGTGCGTGGACGCGAGGGCCCTCGCGACCGCGCTGGGCGCTCCGCAGATGCAGCCTCGCTCGGTGTCGATCGACTTTGGCGACTGGAAAGATCGCATATTCCCGACCGGGCCCCGTTCCTCGCCTTGTGGGCCCGCCTTCCGACCAAACGGCCCCGTCGACAGATGGCTTCAGTCGCCGCCGTCAGTGCTCGAGAACGTGCACGTCCTCGGGCTGGGTCGTGCGCACACGCGCTGGTGGCGCTTTGACCCGCCGTCGCTGCCCAACCTCAAGAGCCTCTCGCCCTTTAGCTACACCCCAGAGGAAGTGGCGGGCTGGCCCGCGGAGACGCGCGCCCGCCTCGAGTGCGTCAGCCTGAGCATCGACGCCGCGTACGAGGTGCCTTCCTTTTGCCGGATGTTGGAGCTGCTGCCGGCGCTGCGACGCGTCATGTGGACGTGCGGTGGGTTCGATACGGCCGACTTTCAGGACGCCATCCTCGCGGTGAAGCGGCACGGCACCCTGAGCTCGCTGTACATTCAGTGCGACTCCGCGACCATCTCGGACTTCAGCGGCCTCCGCGCGCTCAAGGATCAGCTGATCGAGTTTGCCTTCGCGTCCGACACGTGCGAGCTCTCGCACATGCCGCTGGACTACGACAATGCTTGGGCCGCGGGTATAAGGGCGGTCTTCAAGCACAGCCCGAACTGGGCAAGGGAGCTCACGGAGGTCCTGTCCCGGCTGCTGCCGCGCACCAACGTCCGCGTGTGGGACGTCTGCAGCGTCTCCGACCGGGTCAACGAGACGGACGTCCTGCAGAGGCACTTTCTGCCGCACGTGCTCGAGCCGTGGCAAGCCGAGGCGGTCGGGCCGCTGCACAACACGACGGACGTGGACGCGCGGGCCAAGCTCGAGGGCGACGTGCGCACCGAAGCGCTGCTGCAGGAGGCGACGAGGGAGATGAGGGAGATGACGCTTACGCAGCGGACTGCAGGCGGCAGATAAAGTCGCGCAGGCAGGCCAGGCAGCGGCAGGCCAGGGTCCAGGGAGGCCGGGACAGATGAAAAGGTGTGAAAAAACGAAGGTAACGTCTGTCGAAATACGAAAACAGACAACAAACGTCAAACGAGGGATGGGAGGAGGAGGACAGCGACAGGCACAGGGTCCCCACCTGCACGAGCATCGAGCAGGCATCGAGCAGGATGTTGGAAGGACGATCAGGGGCACAGGGGGTTCTCCATCTGTCATCAAAGAAAGAAAGAAAGGAAAGCGAGGCCGCAACACGACAGGAGAGTCGCTTAGGCGGCTCCCGTGGTGTACCTGTGCTAGTGCCAGTGCGCGCCAGTCCCGTGCCCAGTGTCGTATGAGAGTTTTCAAATTCTTTTTTATATTACCCAAAAGCTAGGCCCACAACGCCCTCTAAGTTGGGTCAAGGCGGGCGCCTAGAAGAAAGCGCCGCCCCCCGAGGGGGAATCCCACCCGTACCCCGAGCCCCCGTCGAAGAGCGCGTCGAAAGCGTCGTCGCCTTCGTACTACTCCTCCGCGTCAAAGCACCGGACCGGCTCCCCTCGGCCGTGCTCCCTTGCCCAGCGCATCTGCCGAACATGCGCACGCTGCTCCTCGCGCGCCCTCTCCTCCGCGGCGCGCGGCGTCCACCCGGTGGACGCCAACAGCGACTCGAGCGTCGCGCGATAAATCGCCTCGCCTTCCTCGCGTGATACCACCTCGCCCGCCTCCTTCGCCACCGCCTTCTTCCCACGCCGCGATAGCTTCTCGCCGCCCTTGCTCGCCAGCGCCGGCGATGCCGTGGCGCGCCCGCCGCGCCCGCGCGCCCGCGCCTGAAAGGTAGCCCTGCCGCGCCCGACGTCCCCCCGCGCCCGAAAGATGACCCGCGCCTCCTCCTCCGTCACGGGCGTCTCGCGACCCCCTCGCGCCTGGAGGATAGCCCGGGCCTCCTCGTCCGTCACGGGCATCTGCGTCTTGTGCTGCAGGGCCATCCTCAGCGCCCGGACGCGCTTGTCCTCCTCGGCCGTGGCCGCCGCGCTCGCCTCCGCCGCCCCAGAGCCCCCTCCTGCCACCGCCTCCTCCGCGTCCGCGCCGCTGTAAGTAGAATCCGAAGCTCCGGCGGACGCAGCAAGATAGTGGCTGCGAACTGTGCCCGGTGTCGGTATGGCGCGTCGCTGAAGGACCGGCGACAACTAGGGTCTCCGGAGCGCGGCGGCCCGCCTCGGCGGCGGCAGCAACGCCCTCGACCTCCTCCTCCCCCCCCGCGGCGGCGATCGTCCCATCGCCGCTCGCCGGCAGCGCGGGCGCCACGGGGTCCATATAGGCCCCCGGGGCGCCGCCTCCGGTTCCACCTTCTGCGGCCTGCGCACTGCAGGCGCCGCTGTCCGCCTCTTTGGGGCGCGCGCCGCCGCGGCCCTCGCCGCCAGCCGCGGCCCCGCCGCCGTGCTCCTCGCCAGCGGAGCGCGTCCCACCTCCGCCGCGGGGGCCGCTTGCGGCAATCGCAAGCCCGTCTGCGGCATGCGCGGCACCCTCGGCCGCGTCCGTACCGCCGCCGCCGCCAGCGCGCTCGCCAGCAGCACCATCGCCGCCGGCCATCGCGCTGCTGCCCGCCTGCGCGCCAGTCGCAGCCCCAAGCGGGGGCTCGACCAGAGACAGGGAGGCAAAGGATGACAAAGCTGCCTCAGCCGCGTCGCAGCTGTTCAGGGCCGGCAGGCAGCGGCACAGCTGACGTTGCACGGTCTTGCCGAGGCCGAGCCCCTCGAGGCCGTCCTCGGCGACCGCCTCGAGCAGCGCCGCGACGTTGCCGACATCTAGGGCCAGCAGCAGCGGGACCACCTTGCCGGAAACAGGCGCAGAGACGCGCGCCCGCTCAAGGAGGGCCGCGATGTCCTCGTCGAGATCGATGGACGGCCGCGAGGCCGCCATCACCGTGGCGCCCGGCCGCGCGGCCCCGGGCTGCAGGTCTGTGCTCGCCGGCGGCGGTGGAGCGAGAGGGAGCGGCGAGTGCTATGGGCGGCCCCAATAAATAAATAAATACAACGGACATCCCAAGCTAGGGCTGGGTCGAGGACAGACACGTCCCCACCTTTGCAGGATTTTGCAAAAGCGAGGGGGGAGGGCGCATCGCCGCGCGGAGAGGGCTGGGCACAGGGCACAGGGGATCTCTCTCGCATAGGATATGCACTCGGCGGCACGAGGGCAAGGCTGGGCGTCCTATGTTTGTGCTCCCCCCTGGACCCCTCGCTCTCGGGCACTAACCATCTGACCACTCATCGACGGGGCTTGGCGAGCGGCCGCGCTGCGGGGCAGGGCTGGTGAGGATGGGCTCTGGCCACTCGCCCGTGCGGTTGTAACCGCGCATCAGCCGAACGGAGGCCTCGACCGCCCCTCGCGGCAAGCTCTCGAGCATCTCGAGCAGCTCGCCCGCCGCCATCGCCGCCTCGAACTGCTCCCTCATGCCGAGCGCGCCGCATACCCTGCGGACCGCCTCCTGCTGCACCTCGTCCGGCGTATCGGTTTCATAGCCGGACGAGTCAGCGGAGGCGGCCCGCTTGGCGGGCGGAGAGTCAGGCGACGGCGAGCGCGACTGGCGCGAGGGCCCGCTGCCGCGCGCGGACAGCGCGTTCTTGTCAACGAGACGGGGTCCAGCATCGGCACGGCCCCTGGCACCGCGGCCCTTGCCGCGCTGCTGCTGCCCACGCTTCCTGCCCGGGTTAGGGACAGTGAAGGAGCAGCCGCGCACTCCGCCGCCGCTGGGCGGCGGCGGCACGCGCGCGGCGGCGGCCGGGCCCGCAGGCGCGGCGGGCTGGCCACCCGCGGTGGCACCCTGCGGCTGCGATGCGGCTGCGGCGGCGTACGTCTTGGGCGCCGGCTCCGCGGCTGGCGGCGCGGCGGCAGGGGCGGGCGGCGCCGCAGAGCTCGCGCTCGCAGGCGGCTCCGTGGCCTGCGCCTGCCGCTCGTGGCGCAAAAGAAAGAAAAGAAAGAAAACACACAACCCAAGGGAGGGATGGGAGAACGGCACGCCGCCACCGCTCGTGGCGCACCTTGGAGCACTTGCGCACCGAATTCTTTTTGTCGACGCTGGAAGCAACCCATCTCGAGCGCCGCGCCGACCTGTCCGGTCCCGAGTGGGCGGCATGGCGGAGGGCGAGCAGTCCGACCGGCGAGCAAAGGTGCTGGCGGACTACCGCAAGACGCTGCTGCAGCACAAGGAGGTGGATGCAAAGGCGCGCCGCCCTTCGACAAGCACGGCTTGCGCCGGTTGCGATCGGTGCCGACGCGCCCTGCCCTGCTCACCGCGGCGCGCAGGTGCGGTCGATGCGCGAGGAGGCGAAGAAGCTGCGCAAGGACTACGACAAGACGGAGGACGACCTCAAGGCGCTGCAGTCGGTCGGGCAGATCATCGGAGAGGCGCCTCGCCCGCTGAACTGCGCCGTCCACGCCCCCGCCCTCGCCGACGCCTCGTCCGCCGCAGCCAGACGCCCGTTTTCTCCTCTCCGCCAGCCCGCCCCGCCGCGCGCCCCTCCCTCCTCCGACCCCGCGCCCTCGTGGCGAGCTCACCCTGGCTGCGCTGACCCGCCTCGCAGGTGCTGCGCCAGCTCGACGCCGAGAGGTACATCGTCAAGGCGCCGTTCACACCCGCCTCTCCCGCGGGAGCTGAGACGCCTCCGAGAGTACCTTCCGAGACACGTCTCACACACGCGCTCCAGCCGCCGTCACGCGGCGAAGCGTGCGGCGACGAGCAGCGAGCGCCTCTTGCACTTGGCAAGCGTGCGCCTCTGCGCTCTGCACAGACTCCTTTGCCTCCTCCTGCCGCCGCCCTCGACCGCCGCCTTTTGTTGCCGGCGGGAGTGGCCACGGTTTCCCCCCCCCCCCCCCCCCCCCCCCGACCGCCCAGGCGTCGTCGGGTCCCCGCTACGTCGTCGGCTGCCGCTCGAAGATCGACAAGGCTGCACCTTCCCCGCCTCCTCCTCCATGTCCCCACCACCTCCATCCCCGCCACCGCCAAACCCGCCTCTCCACCACCCGCCTCTCCACCACCCGCCTCTCCACCACCCGCCTCTCCACCACCCGCCTCTCCACCACCCGCCTCTCCACCACCCGCCTCTCCACCACCCGCCTCTCCACCACCCGCCTCTCCACCACCCGCCTCTCCACCACCCGCCTCTCCACCACCCGCCTCTCCACCACCCGCCTCTCCACCACCCGCCTCTCCACCACCCGCCTCTCCACCACCCGCCTCAGGCGAAGCTGGTGCAGGGGACGCGAGTCACGCTCGATATGACGACCCTCACGATCATGCGAGCGCTGCCGCGCGAGGTGGACCCGAACCCACCCTCCCCTACCCCACGGTACCCGAACCCACCCTCCCCTCCCCCACGGTACCCGAACCCACCCTCCCCTACCCCTACCCCGCGAGGTGGACCCGGTGGTCTTCCACATGAAGGCCGAGGAGGCGGACAGCACGAGCTACTCCTCGGTCGGCGGGCTCAACGAGCAGATCCGCGAGATGCGCGAGGTGATCGAGCTGCCGCTGATCAACCCGGAGCTCTTCCAGCGCGTCGGAATCAAGGCGCCCCTGCGCTACGGCCCCCTGTCTCCCCCATCTCTCCCCATCTCTCTCCCATCTCTCCCCCATCTCTCCCCCATCTCTCCTCCCATCTCTCCCCCATCTCTCCTCCCATCTCTCCCCCATCTCTCCCCCATCTCTCCCCCATCTCTCCCCCATCTCTCCTCCCATCTCTCCTCCATCTCTCCCCCGTACCAGGCGCCCAAGGGCTGCCTCCTCTACGGCCCGCCCGGCACCGGCAAGACGCTGCTCGCGCGCGCCGTCTCCAACAACATCGACGCCGCCTTCCTCAAGGTCGTCGCGTCGGCGATTGTTGACAAGTACATCGGCGAGTCGGCGCGGCTGATCCGCGAGATGTTTGGCTACGCGCGCGACCACGAGCCCTGCATCATCTTCATGGACGAGATCGACGCCATCGGAGGGCGGCGATTCTCGGAGGGCACTTCGGCCGATCGCGAGATCCAACGCACTCTGATGGAGCTGCTCAACCAGCTGGACGGGTTTGATGGCCTGGGCAAGGTCAAGATGATCTGCGCGACCAACCGGCCCGCCGTGCTCGACCCGGCTAGGACACGTCCATGACATGCCCGAGACATGTCCGAGACATGTCCATAGGCCCGACGTGCTCGACCCGGCGCTGATGCGGCCGGGCCGGCTTGACCGCAAGATCGAGATCCCGCTGCCAGGCGAGTCGGCGCGCGTGGACGTGCTCAAGATCCACGCGGCGCCCATCACCAAGAAGGGCGACATCGACTACGAGTCCGTCGTCAAGCTTGCGGACGGCTTCAACGCCGCCGACCTGCGCAACGTCTGCACCGAGGCGGGTATGTTTGCGATCCGCGGGGAGCGCGACTATGCAGTGGAGGAGGACTTTATGAAGGCGGTGCGCAAGGTGGGCGAGAACAAGAAGCTGGAGGGCAAGCTCGAGTACTCGAAGGTCTGAGCGCGACAGAGCCGCCAGGGCCGCCCGCGCGCGTCGTCCAGCTCGTCCACGACGCACCGGGGAGAGCGCGCTCCCCCCCATACACCTTTTTTGCTCTCAACAAATTGTTTGTAGTTCGGAACGTGCCCGCCCCAGGATGCGGGTATAAAGCGGTCAGCGTAGCCGTAGGACGAAAAGCGCCGCCGACGTGGCAAGTGTGGTGCCCCAAATTCGCACCTTTTTCTTTTTCTGGACGGCATGAGCGGCGCTTTCAGCCCAACCCGCCTCGCCGACCTAGCTCGGGGCGACCTGGCCTGGCTGCGCGCCTTCCTCTCCGGGCGGCGGACGCGCGGCACGTCGCTCGCGGCCCAGCTCGACGCGAGGCACGACACCGAGAGGCAGGACACGCTGCTCACCTGGGCCGCTCGGCACGGGCAGGCCGCTTGCTTATTTTCGCTCCAGCCCTTTTTAGACTTCACACTCCAAGGTGGGCTGGACTCAGAGCACACTGCAGCTGCTCTGTCAGGGAGCTGCCAGCTCGCAGAGATTCTCTCCCGACAAAACGTCTAGGGTACCATACTTGACCCCCCCCCCGCCACGTCTTTTCCTAGAACCAGCCCGGCCCAGCTCCGCCGGTTCGCCATTGACTCAATGGCAGCCATGGACCAGCTCCGCCGGTTCGGCGCGATCGACGCGCTCGTGGAGGAGCTTAGCGGCCGCCAGACGTGGCTCTGGCCCTTCTTCCCCAAGCCCTTTTCAGAGCCGGAGCAACTGCAGCTGGCGGACCGCTCCCAGGTGCAGGACCGCTGCGCAACCGCTGCGCGCTACTGTACCCGGATCGGGAGATCTTCTCCGACCCGTCGGCGGTGCGGAGCCGGACCGCGGCACTGGGGACCCAATGGTCGCTGCGCGCAACTGCACGCACTGTAGCTGCTTCATCGGGCGCGAGGGCGTACTGGAGTTTCGACGAGATCTTGCATTCGTCGCGGCGGTACGGAGAGTTCCGCTTCCGGCAGCGGTACGCGGTAGAGCAAGAGAGAGACAGACGAGGTGTTGAGGTGACGCGAAGTTCTGCGTCCGAGGGGATGAGCTATTCTTTGTGCCGCGGAGAAGTGTGCGCCGCGTGACTTCTGAGCTCTTCAAGGGTGACGTGCTCTGGGACGAGCCACACACTTGCCACAGAGAGCGGGGCGCACGATATGGATATGCAATAGTCCAAAATAGAGGGGTCACATGGATACTACCGGGGGCCGCCCCCGCTGTAGCCCTGGACCTTGGTCGCATCTGAGCTCGACGCCTCAGTAGGAGGGTCGGGGAGAGGCCGCTAAAGGGGGGTTGCACTGGACGGAGAGAGAGCGCCGCGTCGGCGCAAGAGAGCATTGTGCAGTGGACAAAGAAGAGGGAGGGGGCCCCGCCGCGCCCTCACGGCGCGGCAGCGGCGTCGGCCCTCGCGCCGCGGCGCGCGGCGCAGCGCAGCGCGCCGACGGCGCGCGCAAAGGGCTCCAGCCTGCGCCAGCGCGAGTGGCCCTCGACGAGGGAGACCAAGTCGGCCAGGCAGAATGCGGGCGGCATCTCGTCGTCGGCGGGCAGCCGGCCGCTCTCCGCCTCGTCCGAGTCGGAGAAGGCGAGGTCCGTCCGCGTGGCCGAGAGCGGCGACAGGTCGCTCCGCGCGGCGGAGAGGTCCGAGGGGGAGAGGCTCGGCTCGCCGCCGCCCTCCGCCGAGTCGACCATTGCCGACAGCTCGTCGAGGTCAAAGGTGACGTCCTCGCCCGCCGCCGGCGCGGGCGCGGCCGCCCCCTTGCCGTCCGAGCTGCCCGCGCGCGAGCCGGCGAAGAAGCACGCCGCGAGCCGGTCGGGCACGCCCCAGCCCGACGGGCCGGGCACCTCGATTGAGAGCGAGCGCGTCATCTTTGCCAGCGCCTGCAGCGTCGCCTCGGAGAGCGAGGAGCGCCGCCGCTTGGGCTTCACGTCGGCGGCGGCGGCGGGCGCCGCCGCGGGCGCCGGCGCGGTTGAGCGCCGCGACGGAGAGGAGCGGCGCGGAGGGGCCGAGGCCGAGCGCCGACGCGCACGGCAGGTGCTGCTGCTCGAGCGAGACGGTGGCGCAGAGCTGGCCGGGCAGCAGCGTGGAGGGGGAGAGCTCGTGCGTCGGCACGTCGCGCAGCGTCGCCCACGACGCCCCCCCGTCCGCCGAGACGGCCACGCGGTAGGCGACGATCTTGAAGCCCCCATCGGATGAGGGCGGCTCCCACGACAGGGACGCGTCCGAGCCGCCGGGGCCGGCGAGGATGGTCAGGCCGGTCGTGCGGCCCGGGCGGTGGACCTGCAGGATGTGCTGCGACTGGAAGTTGTTTGCCGAGATGCACTTGCTGCACAGCGGGCAGAAGCGCCGGCCGGGCACCGTCCGCCCGCCCGCCCGCGAGGTGGTGGACTTGGCCGCGGTGTGGCAGACGCCGCCCGTCCCCGGGTCGACAAACCAGAGGATGCGGCGCGACTTGAGCTGCACGCGCACAAAGTAGTCCCGCCCGAGCTCCTCGAGCAGAAAGGGCTCCGCCTCCGTGTTTGGCCCCTCGGTCTGCAGCGAGAAGGCCTCGTGCCGCAGGTACTCTGCGTCGAGCCCGCCACCGCGCAGCCGCCACTCTGCCGGGTCGACCGTGTTTGGGTGGCCCGCGTCCGAGCGGGCGACGGCGAGGGTGCTGCCGGCGCTGTCGGCGATGCACCAGCTCTCGCCGTCCTCGGCGGCGTGCAGCGTGAGCGCGGCGATGCCGGCGGGCCACAATGTGTCGCCCGCGCTCGGCCGCCGGAAGTAGATGGGCTTCCCGTTGCGGTACGGCTGGCTGGCGTCGCGGGTCCAGGCGCCGTTGACGTAGGCGAGGTAGTCGGGCGCGCCCTTGCTCGTGAACGTGGCGTGGCGGGAGAGCTCAGTGGTGGCGGCCTGAGGGCGGGGAGCGAGGGTCGGTCGGCAAGGAGGCGCGGCGAGCGAGTGTGGTGGCGAGACGGGAGTGCTCGGTCAGCTTGGAAGCGCGGTGAGTGTGGCGAAAGTGCTGGGTGCGGATGGCGCGAGGCTGTGTGCCGCGGAATGAGAGGCGGGCGAGGCTGGCGTTGTGGTGGATGTGACTCACCATCTTCAGTCGGCTTTGGACGTGTCGGACAAGGATCACGCGCTTTTTTGTCCCCGACCTTCACACTTGCCCCCTCTCTCGAGGTTCTCGAGGTGGATATCCTTTGGCCGCGTTGGGTAGCGAGGATTGGTGTAACCCGAGCCACGGAGGCGTGTTTTCTGACGGCCGACCGTCAGTGCACGGAGTTGCCCCTTCTCCGACTGCCCCGGCTAGTTCCCGAGGTCGCGCGGGAGTGACCCCTGCGTCCCCCGAGACCTAGCGCGGGTGGGTTGGAGGGGGCTCGCCCCGCTCCTCCCCATCGGGCCGCATGAGCGGCCACGCCTCGCAGATTCGTTTCTCGCGCCTGGGTCAGGCGCGCGGGGCATCCCCCGGGTCGCTCGACCAGCGATCCGAAGAGTGGCCGCTATGCGAAGGAAAGAGTGGGGCCCTCGACGCCTCAGTCCGGCCCTCCGAGGGGGGAAGGGAATTGCGGGTATTGCTGGCTGAATTAACGCGTGCATGCGACTGCGACGCGTACGTGCGAAGCGTACGCGCGACGGAGAATCCTGCTCTTCACCGCAGTTAATCGCTAGTCCATCGCACTTTCTGGTTCAGCCGCTAGTGGGACCCCCCCCCCTCCCTCGACGACAACAAAAAAGCGCGTGAACAGGGCTCCAGGCCCCAAATGACGTGTGAGTGTTAGAGTTGTTTGGTATTGCTAAAAATCTCTCGAAGTACGAAGACCAGGGCTGAGTTTCTTAGTGTGGGTGAAATACCGGTCACACCTAGAACGCGCCCGCTCGGAAGCTAACGACGATCCGGCTGAGCGTCTGCGGAGGCGAAGAGCGGATGGCGATGCGCAACACGAGGCCTGGTTGTCGCGGTCGGTGAGGCACCATCGCGGCCATCTGTCTGTCTCTGTGGACAGGAGTGACAACAGGCGTGACAGGCGTGAGACGGTTCGCAAAAAGATAGAAATTCCCACGATGAGGGGTCCGGAGTGGTGAGGCGCCGGGTGTGGGCGGGCGTCGAGTCCGTGTCGAGTCCGTGTCGAGTGTTTACTAGCTCCGAGTAGAGGGGGCGTTCCGCTGCTAGGGGAAACCTGGAGCGCGGAGCTAACCCTCGGAGACCCGTGTTTACTTTAAGGCCCTTGCCCTGCGAACGCGCACCCCCGGGGCTAGGGCTCTCTAGCCCGTAACCCGATGCCAATCATCCGGCCCGCTGGGTGCGCTTCTTAGCTCTCCCCGGCCCTGGATGTGCGGTTACTGACTGCACTCCAAGTGCTCCAAGTGCTCCCACCCAGCGATTCAGATGCCTGAGGAACCGCAAGTATCTAGATAGGTACCCGCGCTGGGGCCCACCGCTCCTACAGTGCCGCGCCCGCCGCGCCGTATGTCCCGCCGTCCGATGTCCTGCCTGCCGTCTGCTGCCGCCGCGCCGCCTTACCGCCGACCCTTACCGTGCCGCGCCGCCTCTACACACACACACACACCTGACTTCTTGCTCGACCGAGTTTGCGTTGAGGATTAGGCTGTATGAGGTTTTCCTCTCGCACCCCGTCTGTTTTCCTTTCCTTTTTTCTCTACAGCACCCTCTCTTTTCCTCTCTATTTTGTGCGAGGGAGTTTTGTTGTAAAACTCTATTTTCCCGAGAAAACTCCGTGGAAATCGTCAAATTTTTGGCTCTGAGCCGAGTCTGAGGCTGGTTTGGGCCCAAAATCAGCCAAATTTTAGGCCAAATCGTCAAAATGCCGGGAATTTTGCGGAGAACCCGTGTAGACCTGGAAATTACCCTGCGACCGCCTGGGTATTTTGTCGATTCCTCAATTTTGCCTCAGATTTTGCCCCAGACCAGCTCTCAGACTCAGGGAAACTCGCGAGTTTCCAGAATGGAGCACCAAACACCCTCTGTTTTCCCTGGAAATATCCGGCAACGCAAAGTGCTGGGGACCCTCTGTTTTCCTTTTTGTTTTCCGGAAAACCTCGTACAGGCCAAGTTGAGGAGCGAACCGAGCCACCGGTGTGTCCCGCAGCGGCCTCGCTGGGCCAGAACATCGGCCCCGAGTGCTCCGCTGCAGCCTCGCTGGGCCAGAACGTTGATGGTGCTGAGGACGAAGCCACCTCAAACTTTGATGAGCCGCGAGTTTTTATAGTTTTCATTAGCTGTGAATAGTTATTGCGCCCGCCGCAGCCCGCCCACTGGGCACGCGCCACGGGCCACGAGAGCCCTGGAAGAGCCCAGCTGGCATGTTCTATCGCCCGGGTGGCGGGCTGTCTGCATACAGACGTCTCGTCGCCATGGCTGACGCACGACTGGTCCGACGTGCGGTGGGAGTTTGACCTCAGACAGGCCGTCGGTGTCGGCGGGCTGACGGCGGCCGCCGGAATCGTTATTCGCTCTGCCAGCTGCCAGCAGCCTCGTGTCGCGGCTCTCACAGGTGCAGCTGCCAGCAGCCTCGTGTCGCGGCTCTCAGCGGTGGTGATTGGTCTTTGCGCCGTCGCTCGACGGCGTCACCACCCATCCGATCTGCGCAGCTCCTGCAGCTCCTGCAGCTCCTGCTGTCAGTCTTCTACTCTCACTCGCCGCGCGCGGATTGTGCGCCGCACCAGCAGGACACATGCTCATGCAAACAGTGCGAGAACTTGGTTGCGCCGCTTAGTGGCGGCGCTGCTTTAGAGGAAGCGGCAGCGTGGGAAGCACAGCAGATGGAGGCGGCGCGGCATGCCAAGGAGCTGCAATCGCAGTACTGGGGGCGGCAGCGCCAGCAACGAGCAAGGAGAGACTGGCGGAGGTTGAGCGGCTGAGTGCAGCAAGGGCCAAGGGCAAGAAAAAGGAATGTGGGCGTGGGCGATACGGGCGCCGCTAGGCTCAACGAGGAGATGCTGTGCAGTTAGAGAGCTCGTAGCGAGCTCGATTTTGGATGAGAATTTAGATGAGAAATCCCTCAATTTTGAGAAAAAACGCCAAAAAATCGGCGCCTGCGGCGGGCCAGCCTCCGGCGGCGCCTGCGGCGGGCCGCTGGGGCTTCCTCCCCAGACCCCGTTTACACCCGAGCTATGCCCCACGACCTGAGCCGGAGCCACTCGTTTTGGTGACTCTGCTGCACGCCGTTTCAGAATTTTTCTCAGCGTGAGCGAGACGTGGAAGAGTGCCACCGTCGGGTAGGACGGGTCGGCCCGGAGTATCAGAGTAGCCGTCGTGGTCGCGGCGAGCAGCGCCGGCCACTCCGGCGCGCCGCGTCGGCAACGTGGGAGCATGTCCACCGCCACTTCGCGGTCGCAGCGCTGTTGTCGCCAGAAACGCCGCTATGTACCTTTCGGGCAAACCATCGAGCTGTATGTCGATTTCGACTTGACGGCGGCATGTACGTACGTACTTTTAGCTTACTGGGAGAAAAGAGAGAGGGGGTTGTGTTCTCGGCATGTAGGCATCATGCCTCCATGCCGCCTCCCGGCTCGTGCAGCGCTGGAACAGGCCGAGCTCATAGGGCGCCGAGCTCGCCAGCTGCAGCCCTGCAGTTCTCGATACTGAGCCCTCCTCCCGACCCGCTCTTGATGTCCATCCGGTCCGCGCCGTCCAGCTGGGCGACGCCGTCGCGTACGAGCCGGCCTCGACGCGCTCGCGGCTGCCGCGGCGGCCTCGGAGGCGCGCTCGGCGAGCGGCCGCGCTCGGCGGTGCTCCTGCTGCTGCCGTGCCGCCGAGCGGCGTCGAGGCTCCAGAGAGGCGATGCCAGTGACCGGCCGCGTCGGAGGCCTCGCTCCGGTCAAGTTCCTCGCGCTCTCTCCACCTCTCTCGCCGCAGTTGCGTAGGCGACAAAATGAGCTCGCTCGCGAAAATCACAAACAGTTGGAGTGGGAAGGGGTGCTGGGCCCGAGCCTGCTTGACACTGCGGACACGGTCCGTCTGCGTCATTCCCCCCAGGCTGATTCGCCGTCTCGTACTTCCTCGCGCTTTTTCTCACCCTTGCCCAGAAGCTTCCCACGCCAAAATGCGGCGCGATGCAGTCCTGCTCGTGGAGGTTTGTGCGTTGCCGAACAGAATCCAGTGCGGTGCAGTGTGGCAGCTTGCGAGGAGCGGTGACGGGTCGTTTGCCCGTGGAGCCAGTTTGCCAAACCGGGAGGGGCAGAGCGCGGGGCCGCTCGCACTGTCACACCTCGCACATCCCGTCCTGGACACATCACTCGTGGATAGTGCGCAGCCGCCGCCGTGTGCGCCAATTCGTCGAGAGTGCGCAATGACCGGACGCTCGGGAAAGGTTTATGTAAGTACATTTGAAAATGGCCGAGTTCGTCTCAGTTATCGCCTCTCAGTTATATCGTGAGTCTTTGTCTCTGACGTCCGACGACATGTCACATGAAAGTCATGAACATGACAGGCGGCCGGTCTCGGGGTCTGAGACTCGCTGCTGACCGCCGACATTCCGCTCTCTGAGTCGTGAGTGTGCGCCCTGGAGGCCGGCCTCCCGAGTCGCCGGCGCCCAGTACGTCAAGCTCCCAGCTCATAGACTCAGAGAGGGACGTGGTGGGCGCAGAAGCGGGCGAGTGATGTCCGTTGCGAAAGCCCGAGGGCGGCTCGGCAGCCCCGGGTCGGCTGGCGAATAGCCTGCCGTGCCGTCAAAGAGCAGAACGCGTAAGCAGCGGCCGAGATGCGCTGTCCTCGGCCAGCGCGGGTCCTTCGTCGCGGCGTCGCGGTCTCCTGGTCGAGGAGACCGGCGCAAAGGGCGTGGCTCACTCGCGCGGCAGATTAGCGCGAGCTTCGGCCGAGCACAATGCGATTCGCCCCACCACCCATCCGAACGAGATTGAGTTCGGTCCGCGGGCACGTCGAGGGCGAATCACGCCACGCGGCGGTGGCGGCTCGGGCAACATACACACGTCCTCGAAATAGTAGCGCGCCGGAAGACCGAGGCAAAACTCCGCGCGCCCGAGACGACCTGCGCGGCGGGGACGGCTCTCTCGACTCCGCGTGCACGAGTGGGGGCCTCGGAAGCGGCGAGATGCGGCGCCGAGAGAGGGAGACATGTGCCGCTCTCGCGCCTGAGCGCCAAGCGCAGGCGTCGCGAGCCGGTGGCGGAGCCGCCGAGCGTCGCGAACGGTCCACCGCTCGCGCACGCGTGCAGCCGGTCCAGGGCGGCTAGGCAGAAAGAAGAATGGCGCGAATTGAGGCCGTACGCGCCCAGCGCGAGCCTTGTTCCAGAGCGGCTGGCTGTCGCACGAGCCGGTGCCGCCGTCAAGTTGGAGCCAGAGTCTGCGGCGACCACAGCGCTCAGAAAGGTCCATAGACAGCGAGCTTTTCAGAGTCAGCGCGATTGCCACAGTGGTCACTTGTAGTGAGCGTCGGGCTGGTGGTTCGACACCTGTGGATCGTGCGTGTGCGAGAGGGCTTGTAAAATTCTTTATTATGAAATGAACTCGGGGGCACGGGACGCGGCACAAACGGGGCACAAACGCCAGGCTACAAAGACGGGGAGGCACGTAGTGACGCAGGGGAGTCTAGGCGACGGCGGCGTCCTCCGACGCCGCGGCGAGCCTGAGCTCGGTCGCAATCTCTTCCGCCGCCGCGAGCTGCAGCGCGACTGACATGCGCTGGGCCTGCAGCGAAAGCCACGACCGCGTCGACCAGCTCGCCTCGTCCTCGTGCTGCCGCTTCGAGAGCTTGTTGCGCACCTTGTCCTTCATCTGGTAGAACAGCCGTTTGACCGCGTTGCACCACCCGCCGAAGGTTTCAAACAGGTACATCTGCACGTCGGTGTCCGAGCGCGAGAGGGCGTGCGCGTAGTCCGCCTTCTTGTACGCCACATAGCCGCCGCCGTCGCTCGGCCTGAAGTCGCCGTCCCCGACAGCGCCGCGCTGCTCGAGGCCGAAGACGTCCGCGCTCGTGCCGGGCTCGGTGTTGCCGAGGCCGACGAAAGCGCCTCGCTGGCCGACGTCCTCCGGGTTGGAGGAGAGCGAGTCCTTGAACTTGACGTCGCCGATGAGGCGCGAGCGCGAGCGGCCGGCGCCCGCCACCGAGACGTCGGGCCGGTAGTCGTTAGAGTAGCCGAGGTGGTCCCGCGGCTCCACCTCGACGAGCATGCCCCACACGCTCCGCATGACCTTGGCCAGGGCGGCGAGGAGGCTGTTGTGGCGGCCGCAGTGCCCGAGGCGGCCGATGTTGCTGGCCGCGTCGCCCAGCGGGTCCTGCACCTTGCCGCCGCGCGCCGAGCAGGTCGGCGCGCCCCGCGCGAGCGCCTCGTCAAGTGGTAGCCCGAGGCGCCGCTGGACGGCGATGCGCAGCGCCCACGTCGGGATACGAAAGTCGCGGCGCGAGGGGACGGCGTTGAGGAAGGCGCCCGCCTGGTACTGGCTGACGGCGATGAAGCGCACCGCCTCCCGCCTAGCCACGCCCGGTAGCTGCAACGCATTCCAAAAGCCGAGCCATGCTGCGTGATGAATGATCTGGGAGTAGCGACGCTGTGCGCTTTGTAGATGCTCACTGCCAGAATCGAAGCAGGCCAACGGGAGGAGTGTGTCGCGGTCGGGGAGGCCGTCGGGGTGAAATCGGAAGTGTGCGAGGCCCTCCTTGCAGTAGTCGAAGACCTGGCGGTCGTACTGCTCGTAGGTCCTCGCCACGTAGTCGTAGTCATCGAGGAGGGTGCTGTGTGCCTCCTGCAGCTCGGTGAAGATGGAGAGCTGCTGGAAGTCAGCCGCCGACTCGGCCGTGATGTCGACGGCTCGGAAAGGCGCGTGGAGCTGCCGAAGCGGCGTCCACACGAGTGCCCAGGTGCCGACCCACGCGGCTCGCCGGATCGCCGCCATGGAGGTGAGGCCGAGCCCGCCGAGCTTGACCGGGAGGCGCGCCTGCCGCAGCGCACGCTCGCACTGCGCCGGCGAGCCCGCCTCGGAGCCGACGATGCGGTGGAAGGCCGAGGCGATGAGCCGGTCGTGTTCCTGCGCCGCCTCGATGGTCATGGACGGCGGCATGGTGCGCAGGAAGTAGACGAGGGTGGTGTTGGAGCAGTAGCGCATGAGGCAGTGCTGCGCCTGCTGCGCGATGTCGAGGCTGGGCGCGTCGCGCAGCTGGATGATGCCGTCGAGCGGCTCGAGGGCGATGCGCACCCGCTTGACCAGCTGCGCCGAGCACCAGCCGACGTCGCCGAGAAAGGCGCCCAGCACCTTGATCCCGAGCAGCGCCGCGAGGCCGGCAGGCCGCCACCGGGGAAGAAGAAGGCGAACCTCGCCGCCGCCCGACCGTAGCCGGCGTCGATCACGAGGCGGAGCAGCTCGAACGGCGAGAAGATGCCGTCGAGCAGCAGGTCGCCGTTGACGTCGCGCAGCGAGGAGGCGATCTCCTCCGCCGTCGCAGGCGCCCGCCTCCGGCCGTCGTAAAGGACAGTCGGCGGGAGGCGGGAGACGGCGACGACGAGGTGCTGCCGGAGGACGTCGCCGGGCGGCTTGCAGGCGCAAGCGAGCGTCTGCTCGAGGACGGCGCGAGAGGTCACGGCCTCCTGCGGCGTCAGCAGCTCCTTCGCCGCGGCGAGGGCGGCGGCAAGCTCGTCGCCCACCTCGAGGCAGCCGCGGAGGCTCCGCTCGCCGTCGCCGGCGAGCTCTGGCGCCTCCGGCAGCGGCGCGACGGGGCTACCAGCGTGCGGCCGCTTGCCGCGTCGCGGCGCCTCCAGCACGTCGAAATGGAAGCCGCAGCCCGATGCGGAGGTCCGGTTGAGCAGCGTGCCCAAGTACTCGCCGGAGTGGACGCCGATCGGGTAGACGTACTTGGCCTGGCCCTTGTCCAGCTGGCTCTGGACGTGGGCGGGCCCGTACTTGCCCTCGCGGTACTCCACGACGCCGATCCTGCAGCCGAGCGTCTCGCAGAGCACCGTGAGCGATAACCCGCCGCCCCAGCCGCCGCGGCCGATCGCCTGCGCCTCCTGCTCGAGGATCCGGCCGACGCCGTCCTCGCCCGACGCGGGCAGCGCCTCCACGGTAGCGAGGAGCAGCCTGCACGAGGCGGAGCGCAGCGGCGCGGCGTCGAGCTCAATCTTGAGCCGTGCCCGCACGCGGTCCGCCCAGCCGGCCTCGGAGAGGATGTGCACGATGGAGTGGAAGAGGCAGTGCCCGTCCTTCCGCATCTCTCGCAGCACGAGGCCGTTCTCGGCGAGCGCGCTGAAGAAGCCCGCCTCTGGCCCGCCGTCGCGCCCGCCGCGCCCAGCGTCCCCGCCGCCGCCCTTGCCGCTCCCGGTGCGCGAGCACTTGGTGCCCCCCCCACTCTTGCCGCCCCGCCTGCGGCGCATGGCGTCCTGGGCTAGAGCCGTAAAGTCCTCGGCCTCCCTGCCGCCGCCCTGCACCAGCCAGCCTGGCGCGTCGCCCTCGCCCGCAAGGCCCGAGAGGACAAGGAGGTGGCAGGCGGGCGGCGGCAGCGAGCAGAGAGGCAGCGAGCAGAGAGGCAGCGAGCCGCCGAGCAGAGAGGCAGCGAGCGAGCCGCCGAGCTGAGGCAGCGAGCCGCCGAGCTGAGGCAGCGAGCCGCCGAGCTGAGGCAGCGAGCCGCCGAGCTGAGGCAGCGAGCCGCCGAGCTGAGGCAGCGAGCCGCCGAGCTGAGGCAGCGAGCCGCCGAGCTGAGGCAGCGAGCCGCCGAGCTGAGGCAGCGAGCCGCCGAGCTGAGGCAGCGAGCCGCCGAGCTGAGGCAGCGAGCCGCCGAGCTGAGGCAGCGAGCCGCCGAGCTGAGGCAGCGAGCCGCCGAGCTGAGGCAGCGAGCCGCCGAGCTGAGGCAGCGAGCCGCCGAGCTGAGGCAGCGAGCCGCCGAGCTGAGGCAGCGAGCCGCCGAGCTGAGGCAGCGAGCCGCCGAGCTGAGGCAGCGAGCACGGCAGCGAGCAGAACGGCTGCGGGCAGCAGCAGCAGCAGCCGGGCTCGGGTGCCGCGCAGCAGTACAGCGGCGCCGGCAGCAGAGGCAGCAGCTCAGCAGGCGCTGCATCTGGCAGTTGCTCAGCGCTTTTGCACGCGGCTGCTCTCCGCGGAGTAGCCGCAGAGCGAGCTGCCGCCGACGACGGAGCTAGAGCCTCCGTCGGCGGCGTCAGCCTGCTCGGTGGCGCCGCAGCCTCTCGCGGGCGCGGCGCCGGGCGGGCAAGCATTCCGATGCTGCCCGCCATGGAAAACGCGCGGCAAAAAGAGGTAAAAATTCTTTTGCCAACTTTCGCACCGCAGGCTCGCCGAACCCTTTCCGCTGCGGTGGCCCCGTCGACATCGCTCGCGTCGCCGCCGCCCCCTACCCGACCTCTCGGTGCTGGCCGTCTCAACTCATGGCGACGACTCAAGCCGCAGCGGCCACACTTCTAGTCATGGTCAACCTCGGGGCTTTGCTCCTTGCGGGCGCTGTCCTCACACCTCACGCGTGGGACGGCCTAACTTTCAAGGACACGGCACTCGCGCCTCACCCTGGCCGGCTGCTCGTCGGCCAGCTGCGGGCACCTCCGAGCGCCGCTGACCGAGACGAGTACGAAGCGTGCGAGCGCGTGCGCGCCCGCCTTCCAGCTCGCCACGAACGTGCACCTGTGGGGTGTGCAAGGACGAGGAGGACTGAGTGGCGTTGCCGCGTTGTTCGGTCTTATGTCCATCGTGCTGGGCGTCGCGCTCGCGCATGCCTCCTTCCTGTACCACGCCTCGATCACTGTCGAGCTCAACCGACTCGACGTGCGGTTCATGATGCTCTTCACACTGCACAACACCTGGAAGTGCTTCTACATGGGCGCACGGCTGCTCCTGTACCCGCGGCTGGGCACCGCCGCTTGGCGCGGCCTCCTGCGGACGTATCTTGCGCCTGCTCTCGGCGGCGCCTCTCTTGGCGCCCTCGCGCTGGCGGCAGCCACCGACTCCCTGCATCGGAACTACGACGTGTTGCTGCAGTCGGCCATCGCGTTCATGTTCCTTGGATCTGCAGGTTGGGCCATCAAGTCGTCCCAGCCGCCGGGCGGGCTTGGCCGACGCGCGGGCCAGCTACACCTCGCCCTCTTCCTGGTGGGCATCGCGCTCAAGCTGCTGGACGACTCCAAGGCGCTCTGCACCACAGACAGGGCGCGCGACTCGCCGTTGCAACTCACGGCCGCCTTCCACGCGCTCACCGCTGTGAGCTCAATGATGAGCGATATGCACACGAGCGCGCAGCTCAGCCACGATGCAGACGCTGCGAGGAAGAGAGCGTAATCACATCACTCCATTGTTACGTTTAAGGTTGTCAGTATTGAGTTCCGCACAGAGTTTGGCTTTTTGTTTGCGCTGTGGCGGTACGGCCTCGTGACACGCGACTCGGCACTCGCTTGTCGCGAAATACTCGCGCGACTTGAGGACGACATCTCCGATCATCCGTATCTAGTCATAGAAGTTATAGGAAGCGCCCCGCGTACGGGAGTAGTAGAGAAGTGTACAGTGTACAGCTACAGTCTACAGACGAACCGTTTGCGTTTCGGAGATAAACCTTCCAACCTTTGACAGGACACAATCTGCTCTACACCAGGCGCTGCAGCATCCACATCATCACTGGCTCGCGGCAGTACGGGCACTCGCGCATCCGATCCGAGCAGGGGCCGCACGCGCACTGGTGCCCACAGGGCACCGCGATGTGCGTCTTCGGCCGGGTGAAGCACACGATGCACGTAGTCTCGCCGCCGAGGGTGGACTCGGGGACGGCCGCCCGGCCAGTGTCGAAGATGACGTCGGCGAGCGAGACCGCCGCCACCGCTGGCTGAGGCTCACCCGACACCGCGTCGTCGGGGACGCTGCCGGAGCTCGAGTCCTCATCGCCGAGCGGGTCCTCGTCGGGGGCAGCTAGGGAAAGCCGCGACGGCGACAGCGCGGGCGGCGCCCAAGCAGGCTCCGCCGCTTGCTCCTCTAGCGCCTCTCCCTCTGGCACAGCCCTCAGCCTCGCCTGCGCGGCTACCTCAAAATCGGGCGGTGGGACCTCTGCCGCCTCCGCCTCCGCCTCTGCCGTTTCCACCTCACCCGCCGCCTCGGCATGCGCCTCCGACGATCCCGCCGCCCCCCTCCCCTTCTTCTTCTTCTTCTTGCTCTTCTTGCTCTCCTTGGCGCGCTGCTCCGCCTCCTTCTCCGCCTCGAGCTCCGCCAGAAGCGCGTCGCCTAGTCAGAGCGAGGGGTGTGAAGAGACGCACCACCGGCCGCCAAATCCGCCCACGGCGCCTCGCCTCGCGACTTCGCCTCCAACTCCTTCGCCGCCCTCTCCGCCGCCACGTGCGCCTCGATCTGCTCTGCGCATACGGCGCGGCCCGCCTGCCTCGCTATCTGCACCGCCGTCTTTCCCTTCGCGTCGCACAGCTCCGGATCTGCGCCGCGCTGCAGCAGCGCCGCCACCACACGCTCGTGGCCGTTGCCGGCGGCAAGCATCAGCAGCGTGGTGCCACCCACCCCGTCCGGAGGCGAGAACGTTACGTCCATCTTTCCCCCGCTGTCGATCCACGCCGCAATCGTCGCCTCCCTGCCTCGCTCGGCCGCCCTCCACACCTCCTCGGGGACCCTGCCGTCCGCCATCGTCTGCTGCCACCGTTCGGCGATCATTTCGCAGAGGTTCTTTTTGACGGTGGGCAGCTGCCCTGCCGCTTCCGCCAGCCTTGCCGCCGCCAGATGCTCCTCGATGATGCTGGAGCGCTCGCCGTCGCGCTCCTGGGCGGTAGCGGTCGGCGCAGGACCCGCCCCAGCGCCACGGCCGTAGATGAAGAGGTCGCCGCTTGGGCACACGGCAGCGAGCATCGAAGCGCCCGGGCCGAACGAGACGCCGCTCGCCGCCACCTCGTGCTCCGCGAGCGAGGCCCACGACGTTGACTCGTAGAGCGGGCACCAGTCGGAAGTGCCCCCCACGACGGTGACGGTGCCCGCGGCGGTAGCGAGGAACTGGCCGCTGTAGTCGAAGACGGCGGAGCGGACGGGCGCGCCCAGCTCCATGGCGTGGACAGCTTCGAGCCTGTTGTCGCCGAACTTGCGCAAGTCCCACACCTTGAGCACACCCTCGGCGCCGCCGGTGGCGAAGTAGAAGCTGTTCTCGGAGAAGGAGAGGCACGTGGTGGGCTGCTCGAGGCCGAAGCTGGCTACGTCCGTGCGCGACTTTAAGTCCCACACCTTTACGTTTCCAGATGGGACGCCGACGCTGAAGAGCATCCCGTCCGGGTGCACGTCGGAGCAGGAGAAGCCACCGTGGCTGAGGGCGACCGCGTCCTCCACCGAGACGACGCACTCGCCCGTCGCGAGGTCTGCCATCTTCCACGAGCCGTCGGCGGACGCGCTCACAGTATACTCGAGGCCCGGGTGGATGCAGACGTCGTTGACTGCCGCCGTGTGCAAGGGCATGACCTTTAACAATGACGAGCCGCTCCGCGTTTCACTCGTCGACCAGAGTCGCACACTCGCGTCGGCGCCCGCAGAGACGGCAACGTCCTTGCGCGGGTGGAGCCGGACGCGGTGGACGGGGCCATCGTGGCCCTTCATCTCGGCGAGGACCTTGCGCTGCGGGGTGTCGTACAGACACACCACGCCGTCGGCGCCACCCGTCGCAACAAGCGCCTCGGTGCGGTGGCAGTCGACACAGATGGCGCCTTCGCCGTGGATGGCCGAGCGGGTGTACACGCAGCTGAGCGCCTGATAAACCTGCTCGATGGACGCCTGCCCGTCGGGTGGCTGCCGCTTAGAGCGCCACTTCAAGAGAGTGCTGTTTGAGGCGTCGAGCTTGGCCGTGAGCGTGTCGCTCAGCTCACCCGCCGCATCCGCCTGCGCCCCCTCGCTCCCAGCGTCTCGGAGCGTTGCCGTGGCATCCGCCTCGGAAACGGCTGGCTCGCGCCGCCCCGCCATCACCTCCTCCAGGTGCGTCCTGATGGCCTGCTCGCATTCGGCGTGGCCCTTAATCTTTGCGTGCTGCAGCGCCGTCCTGCCGTCCACATCGCGGATCGCCATATCGGCGCCCGCGCGCAGCAGGCGGAGCACGACTTCGGCGTGGCCAAGGGAGGCGGCTTTTGTGAGCGCGGTGCCGCCCTCACCGTCGCGCTTGTCGACATCCGCGCTGCGCTCCAACAGCAGGTCGACCAGTCGCACGTCGCCTCTGTTGGCGGCGCTGATCAACGGCGTCCAGCCACCCTGCGGCCGGATGGCCCTGATGCACTGGTCGTGCCCCGGGTGTTTGTTCGCCGCCGCCCTCGTTTGAGCAATATCCAGGGCGGTCAGCCCGCTCTCATTGCGCAGCCGGATGTTTGCCCCGCGCCGAATCAGCCGCTTCACGATCGCGTCGTCGCCGATCTGAGCGGCCACCATGAGCGCAGTCATTCCGTTGCTCGCCTGCGCGTCCAGCGCCGCGCCGTGCTCCAGCAGCACGTCCACCAGGGTGGCCCGCCCGAACTTTGCGGCGGACATCAGCAGCGAGAACCTCGCGACGGTCCCATGGTTGAAGGCTGCGCTGGCGCTGCCGCCGTCCTTGAGATACGCCCGCACCGCCGACTCGTTGCCTCGCTGGACCGCCTTCAGAATCGTGTCGCGCGCCGCCCGGCGGCCTCGCCCGGGTGCGGTACTGTCCCCATCCTTCATCGGTAGATGCAAAGGGCGCCGTCAGCAGGTAGATGCAAGGGCGCCGTCAGGTAGCAGAGCGACGAGAGCGAGTGCAATAAGAAACCGCGGGGCCAAAGCCGGCAAGCGCGCAAATCCCTGTGCCGTCCTCCCATCCGCATCCCTCCCTTGGGGTCCGTTTTCTTTCTTTTAGCGCGCGAGGCTGAGATTGGTGAGCTTCCGCTTGCCGAGCCGGGACGAGACCGACTCGCGGCCCAGGCTGGTAGTTGACACTAACACAGGTACACCTCGAGAGTCCAAGCGAGGGAGGCGAGGCAAAAAGAATTTCGCCGCCGTGGTCGCACGACAACCAAAAGAGGGATCTAGCCGCCGACGCGCACACAACAATGACGGACACCTCTTGGACCACCAAGACCGCCGCAGCGCAGGACACGAGGCCCGTCAGCTCGGCGGTCCACACCGGCTACGATGCCGCCGAGAAGACGGAGGACGGCATTCCGCTGTACGGCATGGACAAAGAGCTCGCCGCCAAGGCGGCTGCCAAGCGCGATCCGAAGAAGGAGCAGGAGGCACGTGGGTGGATCGAGGCGCTGACTGGCATGTCCCTCGATGGTACGCTGCAGGAGGCTCTCAAGTCGGGCATCGTGCTCTGCGCTCTCGCCACTGCGATCAAGCCCGGCGTCTGCAAGAAGGCTTCGACGATGGCTATGCCCTTCAAGCAGATGGAGAACATCAGCAACTTTCTCGACGCGTGCACCAAGCTGGGTGTGGGCAAGCACGACCTCTTCCAGGTGGGCGCCCTCGCACTAGGCCAGCCGCAGGGCCCCGCCTGCACCGCCGCACGACGCCTCTCTCCCACCGCCGCCTCCCCGCGCAGACGGTCAACCTCTACGAGAACAAGGACATGAACTCCGTGCTCCTCACGCTCGAGGCGCTCGGCCGCGTCGCCTCCAAGATGCCAGACTACAAGCAGGAGTGGCCGACGTTTGGCGCCAAGCTGGCCGACAAGTCGGTGCGGCACTTTGACAACGAGACGCTGGCCAAGGGCAAGGCGGCGCAGACCTTCATCGGCCGCGGCTCGACCGGCCAGGCCAACCAGTCGGGGATGGTCGACACGAGCAGAAACATCGGCAAGATGGACAACGTCAAGGGCGTGGAGAAGCTGGGCGGCGACGGCAGCGTCACGGCGGTCGGGATGGGGTCGCACGGGCACGCCTCCCAGGCCGGCACCGTCGACACCAGCCGCAACATCGGAAAGATGGACAAGGTCAATACATGTTGTGTAGCAGACGCCTGCAGAGAGACCGGGCGACCCGCAAACACAAAGCGCAAACACAAAGGCAACGCGAACCCCGCCCCGCTCGCAGGTCAAGGGGGTTGAGGGCTTCGGCAAGGACGGCACCGCCACCGCCGTCGGGATGGGCTCGCACGGGCACGCGTCGCAGGCCGGCACGTTTGACACGTCCAAAAACATCGGCAAGATGGACCAGGTCAAGGGCATCGACGGGCTCGGCGGCGACGGCACCGCCACCATGGTGGGGATGGGGTCGCACGGGCACGCGTCGCAGGCGGGCACGTACGACACGTCGAAAAACATCGACAAGACGGCGCATGTCAAGGGCACCGAGGGCCTCGGAGGCGACGGCACGGCGACGATGGTCGGGATGGGCTCGCACGGGCACGCGTCGCAGGCGGGCACGTTTGACACGTCGAAGGACATCGACAAGATGAAGAATGTCAAGGGGGACGGCGTCGACGAGCTCGGCAAGGAGGGCATCTCGGCGATCAACCTCGGCTCGACGGGCCTCGCCAGCCAGTCAGGGATGTACGACACGTCGAAGGACATCGACAAGATGAAGAACGTCGTGCAGGAGACGCACGGCGGAGGCGTCCCTCCCGCCGCCTGAGGCCCCGTCGCCGCGCGGACGCCGCCCCGCGCTACGAACCCACCCCGTCGATTAATCGTGCGCGCGCTTGCCGCGTGCGCACATCTCCCCTTCGCCGCCCCCCAAGAGAGGCGCGCCACAGGCTGCTATGTGCTCGATGTCTCGCTGAGAGGGTGTGCGCTCTACGTGCGCTCTTATGCAGCAAATTCGTACGTGTGTCCCATTTTTTTTGCCTGTCACGGTGTCAGAGATCCTGTGTCGGTTCTGTGTATACCCCCCGTATGCGTCACGATACTGTATGTGAGTCCCCCAACTCTCCCGCCGCCTCAACCCTACACGACTCAAGCGCCTAGCTGCACGGCCTCTGCGTGGCTATGCGCCGGTGCGCGCGGTCTCGCGTTCGTGCGCTGTCGAGAAGCGGCGTATAAAATGCCTGCGCCCAAAAACGGCCTGGAACGCCTCCGCTGGCGTTCGCGCCGCGGTCAGCGCATTGAGACCTCAGCCGATCCCGAGTGCCAAGCCTGACTAAGAGGCAATCCGTTGCGCATTTTCTGGCCGCCTACGCAGAGGCGGCATTCGCCGCGGGCCCTCCTTCTTTGCGCTCCTCAGCAAGAAGCGTGAGGGCCCTGATGATCGTCTTCACCATTTTACTGCTCCACACGATGAGCTTGAAGAGCAGCCGGACGGGAAGCGAGAGGGCGAAGCCGCCGGCGTCCTTCAAGCCGAGCGCGGCGGTCTTCCTCGCAGCGACCAGCGGCCCGCCCGACGCCGCGCGCCATGCCCACCCGAGCCTCGCCCGCTGCAGCCGCGACGAGCCGCGCGCCTCGAGCAGTCGCGTGGCTGCGCGTCGGCGGCGCGTCGGCTCTCCAAAGACGAGGCCGAGGAGCGGCCGGAGCAGCCGGAGGAGAGGCGGCGCAGCCTTGGCCTGCTCCCTCTCGGAGAGCGCACGCGGCATGCTCCTTGAGAAGGGGGGTGGCCGCGTCGAGAATGTGCCGAGCTCGTGGAGCCGCATCGCAAACAGGCCCTCTTCGAAGCCGGGGAGAGCGGCGCCCGTCTCGCTGACCTCGAACTTGGAGACGACGAGCGAGATCTGGTACGTCTCGTTCGTCTGTGCTGCCGAGAGCGGCGGCACGCCGGGCACCAGCCGCGGACCGCGCACCAGGCGGAACGCGTCAAACGGCAGATTGACGGTGGCGCGGCCGCCCGTCGGCGGCTTGAAGGCGGCCTGATAGACAACCTCGCCTCGATCTTGCTTCGTTCGTATCGCCATCTTCCACACCCGCTTCGACGGCTCGGCGCCCACGCTGAGCGCTTCGCAGTCAACAAACACGCCATCCGCCGCAGATAGATCGAGTGGCTCAGCGAGGAGCCGCATGCGCTGCCCACAGAATCCGCCGCCGTCGGAGCGCAGGCGGCCTTCGAAGAGGGCGCTGCTGCCGTCGACGACGAGGCGAGAGCTCGAGACGCCGCCCATTATCACATCGTCAATCCGCTCCCACTCTTCGAGCTGGTCCGGCTGAGAGAAGTCGTAGAGCACCGAACGGTAAGAAACGTCAGCCAACCCCAAAATTGAAGCCGTCAACGCCGCACCGGGCGTTCGCGGTGCTCGTGGCACTGAGTGGAGGAGCGCGATCGCCGGCCCGAACCGCATGCTAACCTCAACTCTTTTTCCGACCCAGGGTTCGAACTCCGAGCGCGTAGGGGGTCCTGCCTACCTGTGTGTCGCTCGTGCGTGTCGTCATCATCTGTCCCACCCATACCGCGCTGATGTCCAGTCCGACCTTCACCTTCCTTCCTAACCTAACCGAGGGCCCAACTTCAGAATCGTGCTTTGAGTTGGGTTGTTTCGTGTTGGGTTGGGTTGGTTGGGTTGGGTTGGCCCGGGTTGGGTTGTTCCGTGAGGTTGGGTCGTCGGCGCGAATGGTGAGGTCTCGACCGCCGCCGCTCACGCCAGCGGACGGCCACCATCGGTGTTTTTGGCTTCGCCACCGTCCAAGGCGTGCGCCATGCGCTCGCCGGCATCGAGCGAGCAACGTGATCGACCGAGCGGCTTGCTGTGTGGACGCCTTCTTGTGGCTCTCGTCGAGAGCGTTTTGCGTCCCGGCGGGTGGGAGAATATGTGTCGTCTGATGTGTCACTGTGTGCGTCACATCGGTCTTGATAACAAGCACGGTCGATCCGTCGAAGCGATACACTCGTTCCTATCACGCTGGAAGGCTGGCACGGAGCTCTGTGCCGGCACACAGCAAGAGCCGTGCGGCAAGAAGAGCTCGATGGGGAGCGAGAACCGTCAGAGGTGCTCACCCAGGTTTCGGAAGTCCGCCTCGATGCGGTCAGTTCCCCCCAGGTTTGACCGCGCAGCTCGCAAGACTCGTCGAGCACTCGCAGCCTTTCTGCGCCTCTGACTCTGCAAGCTATGCGGCAAGAGCAGTTTATCCGCAATATATCGACGATTTCGAGATAGCCACAGGCTTTCGCTCGGGAGGGATTGAGTGCATCGCGACGGACTTCAGGTTACACCTGAAAATCTGACGGTTCTCGCTCCCCATCGAGCTCTTCTCTTGCCGCACGGCTCTTCTGTGTGCCGGCACAGAGCTCCGTGCCAGCCTTCCAGCGTGATAGGAACGAGTGTATCGCTTCGACGGATCGACCGTGCTTGTTATCAAGACCGATGTGACGTACACAGTGACACATCAGACGACACATATTCTCCCACCCGCCGGGACGCAAAACGCTCTCGACGAGAGTCAGAAGAAGGCGTCCACACAGCAAGCCGCTCGGTCGATCACGTTGCTCGCTCGATGCCGGCGAGCGCATGGCGCACGCCTTGGACGGTGGCGAAGCCAAAAACACCGATGGTGGCCGTCCGCTGGCGTGAGCGGCGGCGGTCGAGACCTCACCCTTCGCGCCGACGACCCAACCTCACGCGGAACAACCCAACCCGGGCCAACAACCCAACCCAACCCAAAAAGCACGATTCTGAAGTTGGGCCCTCTAACCTACTGTCCGAGTAGGCCACCGGCCAAAAGCGCATGTCTTGAAGGTCCGATACTGGAAGCCCATATAGGCACCTTTGACCTACCTATCAGGGGCCGCGCAGAGAGAGAGAGATTTTGTTTGCTAGTGAAGCGAAAAAAGATGAAAACGGCGAAAATAGGGGGTACCTAATATTGCAGGGCCCTTTTGGAGGGAGGGGCCAGCCAGTGGCGAAAGACCCCTGTCCGGGTAGGAGCCGGAACCCAGGCCTTCGGCACTTCCCGGAGCGGAAACGGCAAAATAAAGTCGAGTTGGCGCGCAACCACGCAACCATGGGCTCGCCCTCACAGGCAGGCGCCGCAGGAGGCGCCTGGTCAATGTACAAATAACGCCGCGTTCACACGGTCAAGACAACACACACCGCGTCCGTGATCTCGTCGCTTAATCTCTGATCGTCGTCGCCCCTGCACCCCTTTTGCATGCTCAACGGACTGAAAGAACCGCCCCTTGAGAACGATGGGCAAGGCGGCGGTTAGCTGAACCTTTTGGCCTCCACGTTAGCTCGAGCACGTTGGGTGGCCGCGTTCACCGGCCTAGGCCAAACCCCCCGCCGCCATCAATTTCTGCCTCGCGCTTCAATTTCTGCGCCGCGCCCACATTCTCCTCGCGCAGCGCGGTGAGGCCCTTCTCGTACTCTTCGACCTGTGCCAGGCGAGGCCACGAGAGGTATCACAAACGTCGCCTTCACGTGCGCCATCTCAACGGTTGGAGCAAAGGCTCTGGGTACCTTTCCCTGCACTGCGGTCCAGTTTGTAATCCGCTTAAGCGAGTCGACGTCGACCCACTTCCGGTCTAGGCCCTTCACGCCGTCCGCATCCCCGTCATAACGGAACCTGCACACGGGTGGTGCTCGTGGGGACAGCGCACTCATCCTCCCTTGGGCGAGTATTGCGTGCGCGCGCTATGTCGGGGCATCTTACAGGCTCCGCCATCCGTACACGTCGTACTCGAGATACCTGCAATGGCAGACTCGAGTATGAGGACCGGACGGGAAAATCCCGTCCTTGCTTATGTGCGCGCTTGTAATCGGGCGGATTGCGACGGTCGCGAAGGCCAAGCGGGATCGAGCTTGTCCTGGAGCCGTAGATGGAGACCACCTGCGTTGCACAAACAGGCGCCTTCTCGATTTTGGAAGGGTGGGGCGCAAAGGGACGGCAGCCACCTCCATCGGCACATCGCCCGCCGACTCCTGCGCGAGGTTCGCGGTACACGGGTCAGGACGCCAGTGCGCCCAATCGCGCGTACGTGCAAGCGCCACGCCGTTGGGTAGTGGTGCATCTACACCGCTCCTGTGCATTAATGATCTCGCAGGTGCTGCCAAGGATGCTTACAAAGGTTGACGCGGCGCCATAGTCGAAAACCCCCTTGAGCGGAGTCGCCTCCAGGGAGGCGGTCGCCGCGAGCAGGAGGAGCGCAGACCCCGTCGCCAGCAAGGCGACGGACCGGCAGCGTGGGCGCGGTGGGCTGTCGCTGCCGATCATGGCCGACGATCTCAACTTTTACGCGGCGGGAATTCCGCGCTAATCTCGGAAGGTGAGCCAAGTACGCTCGCAGTATCCTATCGAATCCTAACATTGCAGTGTCGTGGGCTGACCGACCGGTACACTGCGAGAAAACACACCTATCTCTCCCTTTCTCCCGCTAAAAGTACGTGACTTCCTTTATTCTTTTTCTGTGTGTCTGTCTGCCGCTCACGATACGTCCGGTATGGAGTTTTGTTGTAAAATTCTTTTCCTTATAATTCATCTAGCGCATCGGACCCTCCGCTCTCCCCGCTCAGCACCGCAGCACCAAGGCAAGCACCCCGCACTTGGAGCACTTGGAGTGCAGTCAGTAACCTCACATCCAGGGCCGAGGAGCTCAGAAGCGCACCCAGCGGGCCGGATGATCGGTATCGGGTTGCGGGCAAGAGAGCCCTAGCCCCGGGGGTGCGCGTTCGCAGGGCAAGGGCTGTAAAGTAAACACGGGTCTCCGAGGGTTGGCTCCGCGCTCCGGGTTTCCCCTAGCAGCAGACCGCCCCCTCTACTCGGAGCTATAATGCCCGCATGGCAAGATTGTTTTCAGGTTGATTGCGGGCACCGAAACCGAAACGGCGAAAGCAGGCCAGCCATTGCACATTGGCGGGTCAGCCTCCTCAGCCCGGATGTCGTCAGACACGCCGCCGCCCACCCGCCTCCTCGACCTCCCCACGGAGCTCCTCGCGCGCGCCCTCTCTCGCTGCAACAGCCCCCTCGACATCGCTCGCGTCGCGGCCGTCTCGCTGCTCTTCCACGCCTCGCTCGTGGTGGAGGCCATCCGCTTGTGGGCGCAAGAGCGCGGCTTCGAGCTTCCGGCGCAGCCAGAGGGCGAGGGATGCGCCGTGCGGTGGCTGTGCTTCGCTGCGCTGCTCTGCGAGTCCAACCCACCGGCGAGGGCGGCTGCAGGCGAGCGGCACAGCATCTTCATTGACGGCGAGGGGCGGCTCTCGTCGTGCGGCAGTGGGGCAGGGCATCCCGGGCTACTCGGTCACGGTGAGGGCGTGACACTGCTCAACGCGCCCACCCGCCTCCCGCCTGCGCTGGGCGGCGAGCGCGCCGTGAGCGTATCTGCTGGCGAGGGTCACAGCCTGGCCCTAGCCGCCGAAGGCAGTGTCTGGAGCTGGGGCTTTGGAGAGGATGGCCGGTTGGGCCACGGCGGCCAGCAGCACCAGTGGCAGCCAAAGAAGATCGAGGCCTTTGCTGGCCAGCGCGTCGTCGCTGTGTCTGCAGGAGACTACCACAGCCTCGCCCTCACCGCCGACGGAGCTGTCTGGAGCTGGGGCGAAGGATACTTTGGCAAGCTGGGCCACGGCGACCAGCAGCACCAGCTGCTGCCCAAGAAGATCGAGGCCTTGGCTGCCAGCGCGTCAGACCAGCGCGTCATCGCTGTGTCGGTGGGGAACTTACACAGTCTCGCCATCACCGCTGACGGCGCGGTCTGGAGCTGGGGCTATGGAGACTCTGGCCGGTTGGGCCACGGCGACTACCGGAGCCAGCTGCTGCCCAAGAAGATTGAGGCCTTCGCTGGCCAGCGCGTCGTCGCCGTATCGGCTGGACAGCACCACAGCCTCGCCATCACCGCCGACGGCGCTGTCTGGAGCTGGGGCTCGGGAAGCTCAGGCCAGCTGGGCCACGGCGACGAGCAGAACCAGCTGCTGCCGAAGAAGGTCGAGGCGTTGGCTGGGCGGCGCGTCGCCGCTTTGTCGGCTGGATACAGCCACAGCAACGCCCTCACCGCCGACGGAGCTGTCTGGAGCTGGGGCGGTGGAGACTATGGCCGGTTGGGCCACGGCGACGAGCAAGACCAGCAGCTGCCCAAGAAGATTGAGGCGTTGGCTGGGCGGCGCGTCGTCGCTTTGTCGGCTGGATACAGCCACAGCATCGCCCTCACTGCTGGCGGCGCCGTCTTCACGTGGGGCAAGGGCGACGACGCTTGCCTAGGACACGGAGACGACCTGTCCAACCAGCTGCTGCCCAAGAAGATCGAGGCGTGGGAGCGGGAGCCGGGGCAGTGAGGTCGCGAGCGGCACGCCGCGCGAACTGACACACGAGCGCGACGAGACATACAGCGGTATGGTGCGGTGTCGTGTGTGTGCATGCGCAACGCGGGGTTAGAAACTTACCGATTTTCTTTTGCCGCGCAGTAGACAGGAAGGTTCAGCTTCGCCGATGGCAGCCCATGCGTGGCACCGCGCCGTGGCGGGAAGGTTTTGAGTTTTCCGCGCGCAAGCCGCAACGACCACGAGTAGCGCGACCAGGCTCAGAGACCACCCAAGCCGCACTCCGGCGACCCCACCGACGCTAACTCGCTCACCGCCATCGGTCGACACCGAGCTCTCGGCCTTGCACCGGAGCTACCGCGATCGGCCCCTCCACCCCCCCTCTAGGCGGCGGGCGGCACGAATGGCACCTCGTTTGCCCAGATCTCCTCGACGGGCTGCCTGCAGGGAGAGGGAGCGGAGACAGTTCAGGGCAAGCTCCTCGTCTCCGCCCGGCCGGCCAAGAAGTGGTGGTGGTGTGTGTGTGCGTGTGGAGGGGGGGGGGGGGGGCACCCTCCACGACGACCAAGTCGCCGATGGACGCGTCCCCGCCCAAATGCCTCCGCGAGAGGGTCTCCGGCTCGTCGGGCGCGGGCGTGACGAGGTCTCCGGACTCGCAGCAGTGGCCGACGATGACATACTCTCCGCCGGCCGCCTGTGGGCACAGGCGTGTCCCGACGTGTCTTGGACATGTCCTGGACAGGCAGCCAGGCGCGGCGTGCTCTCTCCGCCGGGCGCCTTGGTGGCCGAGTCAGCGGCATGGTGGTGCACGAGCACGGCCGGGTGCTGCGCGCCTGCGGGAAGGGCCCCGAGAGGGCTCCGAGAGGGCTCCGAGAGGGCTCCGAGGGGTTCCGAGAGGGCTCCGAGGGGTTCCGAGAGGGTTCCGAGACGGTTCGGAGGGGTTCCGAGAGGGTTCGGAGGGGTTCCGAGAGGGCTCCGAGGGGGCTACGAGAGGGTTCGGAGAGGGTTCAAAGAAGGTTCCGAGAGGGCGTCTGCAGGGCGGGGCACGGCGGGGTGTTGCGCGCCCTACAGCGAGGGGCGCAGGAGCTCCGTCATGCCCGAGTCGAGCTTGAAAAAGGTGTGGCCGTCGGCCCCGGTGGTGGCGATGTCCTGCACTGTCGAGACGAGGCAGCCTGCAGGAAGGCTCCGAGAAGGTTCCGAGGAGGCCCTGGCGGCGCGCTGCGCCGCCGAGGCGAGGGCGCCCGAGTTGGCGACGAGGAACGTGCCCGGCTCGATCTCGAGGTCGAGCTGGCGGCCTGTGCGATGGTGATCTCGGGTGATCTCGGGTGATCTCGGGTGATCTCGAGGTCGAACTGGCGGCCTGTGCGATGGTGATCTCGGGTGATCTCGGGTGATCTCGGGTGATCTCGGGTGATCTCGAGGTCGAACTGGCGGCCTGTGCGATGGTGATCTCGGGTGATCTCGGGTGATCTCGGGTGATCTCGAGGTCGAACTGGCGGCCTGTGCGCGCCGCAAACTCTTCGAAGGCGCCTGCGGAAAGGCAGAGGCCAGGGAGAGGCAGGGGGCAGGGGGCGGTGAGGAGAGCGGCGGCAAGGAGGAGTGCGCGCGCTTGGCTGCCTCTCGGCTGCCTCTCGGCTGCCTCTCGGCTGCCTCTCGGCTGCCTCTCGGCTGCCTCTCGGCTGCCTCTCGGCTGTCTCTCGGCTGCCTCTCGGCTGCCTCTCGGCTGCCTCTCGGCTGCCTCTCGGCTGCCTCTCGGCTGCCTCTCGGCTGCCCCTCGGCTGCCTCTCGGCTGCCCCTCGGCTGCCTCTCGGCTGCCCCTCGGCTGCCTCTCGGCTGCCTCTCGGCTGCCTCTCGGCTGCCTCTCGGCTGCCTCTCGGCTGCCTCTCGGCTGCCCCTCGGCTGCCCCTCGGCTGCCTCTCGGCTGCCCCTCGGCTGCCTCTCGGCTGCCTCTCGGCTGCCTCTCGGCTGCCTCTCGGCTGCCTCTCGGCTGCCTCTCGGCTGCCTCTCGGCTGCCTCTCGGCTGCCTCTCGGCTGCCTCTCGGCTGCCTCTCGGCTGCCTCTCGGCTGTCTCTCGGCTGCCTCTCGGCTGTCTCTCGGCTGTCTCTCGGCTTGATCTCGCCCTTGACTGGCTCTCCGACGACGGCGAGGTCGGTCGACGCCTCGTGCGCCATGCGGCCGACCTTGTACCTGGGGGCGGGGGGGGGGGCGAGATCGCGGCAGATCGCGGCAGATCCGGCAGATCGCGGCAGATCGCGGCAGATCGCGGCAGATCGCGGCAGATCGTGTGAGATTACGGCAGATCGCGGCAGATCGCGGCAGATCGCGGCAGATCGCGGGAGATCGCGGGAGATCGCGCACCCTCCGCCGAGGTTGAGCGAGGCCACGGTCGGGATCTTCTCGCAGAGGTCGAGCGAGAGGCCTGCGCGCGAGAGAACAGAGCACTAGAGACGTGCGATGGAAAGAAGGGCAATGCACCGTCATGGAGCGATGGGAGCGATGTCCTCGATCGATTCGTACGGCAGGGAGGTAAACGGGGTGTGCACACACAGGAGCTGGGCAGATGTGGGGGAGGTGTGGCGCAGAGGGCGCGAGCGGGAGGCCGGTGCTGCACTACTGCTGCTGCTGCTGCTGCTGCTGCTGCTACTACTGCTGCTGCTGCTGCTGCTACTGCTGCTGCTACTGCTGCTGCTACTGCTGCTGCTGCGGCTACTACTATTGCACCGGAGACGCGCTGCCACACCGCCGGGTCGGAGCCGGAGCCGATGTGCGTGTGCACGCGCGCGGGCGCGAGGTCGTGCTCCTCGACGAGCGCCTACGAGATCACACGAGATCACGCGAGATCACGCGAGATCACGCGAGACTCGCCGCCCGCACGTCCGGAAGAAGCTCGTCCCAGATGTGATCTCGTGCGCGATCTCGTGGCGATCTCGGGCGATCTCGCCGCCTGCACGTCCGGAAGAAGCTCGTGCCAGATGCCAAACGAGGAGGACGGGCCGCCGACGTTCGTCTTTCCGGTGCCGCCCGAGCCGAGCCCGGGGTTGAACCGCACACCGAGCTGCGTCGAGCGGTCGCCGCGCCTGCCGGCTCGCGGCGGCGGCTTAGCTGAGGGTCAGGCAGCCGGTGGTGTAGCAGCCACTGCGCAGCACGTGAGCCACCGTACCCGGACGAGTGCCTTGTCCGCTCGGTCGGCGCGGCCTCCGTCCGTGGCAGGCTGCCGTGTCCGTGCCGTGGGGTGTCTGCGTGAGAGACTGTGCGTTGTTTGAGATTGCGGCCGAGCTCAGGCTCGCCGTGGCGTCGGAGGACGCCGCCGTCGCCGAGACTCCCTTGCGTGTCACTACGTGCCTCCCCGCCTTTGTAGCCTGGCGTCTGTGCCCCGTGTGTGCCGCGTCCCGTGCCCCCGACTTCTTTTCTTTTCTACTTCTCGCCGCGCCTCAGCCGCCCGTACTCTGCGAGCTGGCGCAGCGAGCACGCGTTGAACCTGCGCGGCGGATGCGCCGACGTGAGGGCGGGAGGACGGTGTTGTGCAGCGTCCTCAGCAGCACCGCGTGAATCCGGCTGCATTCCGCGTCCTCTCGCGAGCTAGCTGGGATACAAGACTACGGAGTCGGCGTCTAGGGCGTTGAACTTGATCCCGAGATCGAGCAGCTCGGCCAGGTCGGCGGGCGTCTCTTGCGAGGAGAGGGAGATGCGGCTCGGCGCGACGCCCGCCGCGACGGCGCGCCGCACCTCGTACCCGGAGGAGGCGTCCACGTGCAGGCCGAGCCGGTCAAAGGTCTGCAGCACGGCGGCGTTCGGGCACGCCTTCATGGCGAAGCGGACCGTCAGGCCGTATGCACTCGGGAAGGCCAGCGCCGTCTCCGCCTGCGACTTGAGCGCCGCCTCCGAGTAGACGTACGCCGGAGTGCCGTAGCTGTCCTTCACCTCGCACGCCGACGCCTCGGAGAGGAAGCGCAGCCGCTCGTCGGTGCCCTGGGCAGCCACCATGGTGCCCTGCGCGGCGCGAGGCGCGACGGAGCGCGGCGGCGCGACCGCGCCGCGACCGAGAGTCAGGCTCGGGACAGCGAGAACGGCGGCTAGCATCCACCGAAAGGGCTTGCAGAAGCGACGCGTCGGGTGTGTCGCTCAACAAGAGGTCGCCGTAGAAAAAGAATTGAACCGCGCCACACAATTCCCGCATGGGTTGTGTCCCCTCTCGCGTTGCTCGCTCGCCCGGGCGGAGGGCATGGCCGCGGAGGAGGCGAGTACGCGCTTGCCAGGCCTTCCTCAGACAGCCTCTCGGGCAGACTGAGGGTCGGCTTTGCGTGGCGTGGCCCGTACGCTGCGCTGCGCAAAGCTGCGTATGCTGAGGGAGCATCCTGTGCTTCCACTGGGAGGTGCGCACCTCCTGCAGCTGGTGGAAGGCCGTGCCGCCGCTCTCGCCTGCTGTCGCAGGAGAGGTGGTGGAGAATGACCTCCAGACTGACCCGGAGAATCACCTCCACCCAGCCCCACCTCAGCACCCCTATTATTCTCCCCTCCCCACCCCAGAGTGATAAACAGTCCATCATATTCCTTATCCCTATATTCCCACACCCCGTGCAGTGGCACGTCACGGCTCCCCAACTCCCGTTGTGCAAGTTTGGCACGTAATAGTCTCCCGACTGCTTCTCGTGGCTTGCACGCGCCGCGAGACAGTCGACCTCTTTGCGGTTGTGGTGTCACAACTGCAACTCGGTGCAACTGGCGCCACTCCCCCACCGGTGTATAACTACGCCTTCGTACATTGAGTACCTTCTATACATATGTCAGCCTCGGCTTGAGGATGGCTTTACAGCCTCACCAGCGGTCAGCAATACCGCAGAGCCTTGCACGCGGCTCACCACTCATACCTGCTCGCGGTTCACCACTCACACCTGCTGGGCACCAACCTTTGGGTCCAGATGACTACCCCTCTATAAACGAGGGGAGAGGGACGCCTCACGAGCCTACGGAGGGCCTCGACCCGTCTTCTTGCTGGTCAGACCACTCTGATCCCCACCACACCTGCTCCGTGGACAGGGCGGGGAGGCGACACGCCGCAGCGCCGCAGCGTCTGCTGCGGGCCGGTGCAGCACTCCGCTGCCTGGTGAGCAGCCTCCTGGAGCTGTGCGCGGTGTTTGTGAGGCGGCTCTGGCGCTGTGGTGCCGGCCGCGGCGAGTGGCGCGCGGCACGCGCGGCGCCGCGCGTGGCCCGGACGGCGCCAGAGAGCGCGCTCGATGAGCCAGCCAGCCGGCGCGGCGCGAGCGCCGTGCAAGCTGGCACATCGTCTGCATGCTGCCGTCTGAAGCTAGGCTAGTGGCGCTGGTGGCGGTGCTTCTTTTTAAGGAAATGAGAGATGAAGGCTACAACAACAAACACAGTTTCGGCCACGAGTTTCGGCGAACCTCGAGAACTCGGCGGGCGGGCGGCGGGCCACCCTGCGCTGGTGCTCAAAGGCGTCTGCCCAAAAAGCAAAGAGCGGAAGGCGCCTCCGCCTCCATCTGAGCCGTCAGGCGCTGTCGCCGCCCCTGGCCGGTGCTGCGCGCCAACTTTGACGACTCTCATGACGTGCCCTAAATGCCGTGACGACCGTCGCTCAGGCGGGAATATCCGCACCTGCACGTGTCCAGACGCGCGCAAGTACCAGGGCAAGATCAAGAAGAGGCAATCCAGCAAGACGTCAACCGCCAAAGCGACAGGGCGACGGGCGAAGCCTACGCATGACCATCGAGCTGTGCCGCATGAGTGCACCTCAAACTCATGCCGTTACCCAGCGGCGCACGACAAGAAGCAGCTTCAGCGGTGGAAGCAGTGGAAGAAGAGTCACGCGTGCAACCACCCGATCTGTAAGGACTACGACCAGCGTTCAGGCCGGCTCCAGCGCTCCTCCAGCGCCAAGGCGGCCTTCGTGCGCATCATGTTCGACTCAGCCAGCGCGCCTGCGCAAGTGCATATCGACCACATAGTGCCTCTATGCCTTGGTGGTGCCGATTGCCCTTGCAACATGCAGGCGCTCACCGAGGAGGATCACAAGGACAAGACAGCGGACGATATCCGTGAGTGCCGTGCGCAGAATGTTCGCCTCTGATCCTACAAGGAGCAAGACCGGAAGCGCTACAATCTGCGCAGCTGGTCAGCCAATGACTGCTAAGGAGGCATCTTGCAATTCTTTGCATCTAACATGATGGTTGAGTTCAAAATCGCTGAGCCGAGAACGACTACCTGAGCCATACAGATGTGCACCCCCGCCGTTACGAACAAACACGCAGCCGGTTTTGCAAGCGCCGCACAGGTGTTTTTGCTTGCAAGCGCCATAAGAAACAAGAGAAGCTATAGCACATCGTACTCAGTTAACATTCGTTACGGCTCACACCCCAGGAAAATAACAGCTCAGGTGCTGGAAAAAACGGACGAGACGCGGACGGCGAACTGCAACGCGGGATGAGACACGTGTACACTCGCGCTGCTCCTCTCGGACGGAATCGGACCAACGGACGCTGGCAGTGGCGCGCGGACTAGGTCCAGCCCTGGGTGGCGCAAGATCTGACGTTCTGTGACAATCGTCAGATCCGTGTTTTTTTGGTCTTGCGGTACATCTCTCCGCTCGCCACCTCACGCTCCGCCGTCCGGCCATGGATGGTCCGATGGAGCTCGCCGAGCTCCATCGGACCATCCAACTCCGGTCACCGAGTCTGAACGCGCTCAGCCTCAGGAGGTACCAAACCGCGCGAATTCTGCACGCCTCGCTGCACCGCTGGCTTGACTGAATCAGGCAGCAGCAGGCTGCTGCTGCTGCCACAGCAGCAGTCTGCTGCGGCCCTAATACGCAAGTTGATGACTAGCAGCACTGCCGGGGGCATTCGAGCCGCCACAGCCGGTGTGCGGCTGTGCACTGCCACCTGCCCGCGGAGCTACGCACAATGTGCGCTCGCATTGGATGAGCCCTGCTGATGGACCTGCGTCGCCTAGCTGCACGAGAGCAATGCCGCAGGCAGTGGCCGTGGCATACACTGCGAGCACACTTGGTGCAGCTGCGAGGTGCAGCAAGAGCACGTCGTTCCTGCCTCTGATGCCACTCTCGCGGCTTGCAGCGCGTCACTCGCCCACTCGCGCATGCTCTCCAGGAGCTATGGCGGGCGCGTGTGTGGGGCTGTAGCCTGTGTTTGGCCGGTTCTGACCCGTTTACTATCAGTATCATGTCCGGGCCACAAAAAATCGCACACGGGTAGCGGCTCAGGGGCCCAGTAAGTCGCGGAATCGCCAAATGTCACAACGTACCTGCGCCACCCAGGGGCTGGACCTAGTCCGCGAGATACACAAAAGGTGTGCGCGCAGTACCGTTAATAAAAGCAAGACTGCGACTGGGACCTGACTGGGACGTGGGAGGCGTGCGAGGGCCTTTTCAGAGAGTCCGCTCTATTGAAGCTGCACTATGTTTCACCGGTGACTGTTGTCTATGTAGAGATCGAGGTAGATCCCGCGCTCCTTGCACGCAGTGACCAGCTCGGGCGGCTTGCTGCCCACGAACAGGGTCTGCACGCGGAGGGGTGGTGCGGTGACCAGTGACCGTGGGCGGGGAGGGGCGTGTGGCGAGGGGCGCGTCCCGCGTACCTTCAAGCTCGGGGCGGCCCCTTCTACGAGAGCGGCAGCCAGCGCCTTGCAGCCATGGTCGCCAATCGTGTTGCCTTCGAGATAGAGCATCTTGAGCCGAGGCGCTCCCCCCTCCTTGAGGGCAGCGGTCAGTGCCTTGCAGCCCTCGTCGCCGATCTTGTTGTAGCTGAGATAGAGCTCCTCGAGCCGCGGCGCTGCCCCCTCCTTGCCGAGGGCGGCGGCCAGCGTGTTGCAGCCCTCGTCGCCAATCTGGTTGTAGCCGAGATAAAGCTCCTTGAGATCCGGCGCTGCCCCACTCGCGAGGACTGCCGCCACCTGCGCCGCCTCCGCGTCGCCCCATCCGAGGCGGACGTAGCGCAGCTCGGTCGCCTTGCCAAACTGCTCCTCGAAGGCGTCCTTGTACAGCCGCGTCACGAGCGGCTTGTCGTCCTTGCCGTTGGTGAAGCTCTTCGTCTCCAGCTCGGCCGCGAACTGAGACGGCAGCAGCGGAGGGCGCCGGCCGCCGCCCTTGGTGCACTCGTCGACGAGGCTGACGCAGCTGTACTCCTCCTCGTCGCGCATCAAGCGGAGGTCGAGCGAGAGGCGGCCGGACTTGGTCAGGCTCGCCCAGGCGTTCTCGGTGTAGCACCAGCCGCGGTCGAAGTACGTGGCCACGTTGGTGCCCTCGGCCTGGTGCTCCGTCTTGTGGTCCTTCGGGAAGGAGGTCAGCCGAAGCACGCGTGTCTCCGGGTGGGAGTAGAGCGTGCCGAGGCAGCCCAGCCCCTGCTTGAACAGCGCGTTCTGCTCCTCGGTGCATTTACGCCGTTGGCGGGGTCAGGGTGCTGGTGCAGCGAGCCGAAGTCCCAAAAGACGCCGATCCGCGTGATGTAGTCGGGTTCACTGAGCAGGGCCTTTAGCGCCTTTGCGACGCGGCCGAGATTGGCTCCGCGCGGGTCGGGGTGGTCCTTGGTCAGCCACGGGTAAGAGAGCGCGGCGACGGGCAAGGACAAGCTGTACTCATCGATCGCCTCGACGAGGTCGGCGAGGGAGAGGAAGGCCTCTTTGGGAAGCGCCTGGCGGTGCGTGAGGACGCCGCCCGCCACGGCGTGGCTGATGATCCACTGCGCGTCGAGGAGGGCGACGGCGCCGCTCGCGAGGACCGGCTCTAGGTCGCCGCCGCCGAGCTGGCGCCACTTCACCAACTTACGCTTGTCGAAGTTGGCATAGAGCTTTCGCCACAGCGCCAGACTAGTCTCGTCGACGTTGAGGTCGGTGGCGGTTGCGAGCGAGGTGGCCGGCTTTGACGCCGTGCCTGAGCCCATGACAAGGTCGAGGGGGATGGCGCTCCAGGGGGATTGGTTTTCTTTTCTTCGTTTCTTGAGAGCCCCGCGCTCCCGCACGTGGAGACAAAGCTCTCTCACCACGACGCATGCGGCGCGCGCATGCAGCGTGTGTGGCGCAGCGTACGCAACTCCCCCCCCCTCCTCCCGTCCAACAAGACCCCCCCCCCCCTCCTCATAGCTTCCTGCGGCGTCTCTTTACTGACTATTTCAGGGAGAACCAGCCGTCCTCGATGTACTTCTCCAGCATCAAGCCGAGGGCGGAGCTCATCGCGTATATCAGTGCGGCTTGAGGCTGGTGCCTGCAAGGCGCGTCGGTGGTGGCGGCCTGACGGCCGCGCGGTGCGTGAGAATTCAATCCCCACTCTCTCTCCACGAAGCCTTCCGCCCCCTCAGGGACTCGGCACGCAACGCGCCGCACGGTTAGTGGACAGGTTCAGGCCTGGTGAGTGCAAGGCCAAGGGTTTTCCGCGTGAGTTGGGGAGGGGGGGGGGGGGGTGTCGAGAGAGATTTTTAGCAATACCAAACAACTCTAACACTCACACGTCATTTGGGGCCTGGAGCCCTGTTCACGCGCGCGCGAGACGTGCAGACAGGGTTGCCAGGTGAGAGCGAATGGCGCGGTTCACGCCTCGCACAACAGAGAGAGAGATGCGCTCTGCATGGTGGGACATAAAAGAAAGCGAGTACTTGGGCGAGTAGGCCGTGCGGTCGACGCTGCCGCGCGCGGCTTTGCGCGCGAGGCGGCGCAGCTTGAGAACGGCGGTGGGCGAGAAGCCGCCGCCGAACGTCTCGTGGAGCAGCAGGTTGAAGTTGTTGCGCTTGACAAAGATCGCGTCGTGGTAGAAACCGCGATGCGCGCCTTGACGTAGCCGTGGCCGTTCTTGTGGTCGAAGGGTTGGCCGGGCTGCCCGCGCGCCTTGCAGCCCATGTTTAGGCGGCGGGCCTTCTCTTCGGTGTTGCCGAAGGCGTATCACCCGAGAAACGTGCGTGTGTGACTCGTGATGCCATTCTGCCTCTTCTGACATCTGTTCGGGGCGCTTTGTCGAAATTTATTTTTTATTTTTGTTGCGCGCGGCCGCCCCCCCCCCCCCCCCCCGAATTGGCGGGGGCCGGCGCCCCAATCCCGGCCGCGTCTATCGACGTGATGGACGACGCCCCCCAGGACTGAGTTAGCTTGGGGAGGGGGGCGGCTCCAGAGGCTGGGGGGTGGGGGAAGGGAAGGGGGGGGCTGACCGCCCTTAACCCAACTTTCTGAACGAGATGACACCCAGAAACATTTATACATTTTGTTTATATTATATGTGGAGAGCTGCGCGGTGCCTGGCGAGCCGCATCGACCGGCAAGCCTGATTTTCTCTTTTTCGCAGCACAATTCTCTTTTTCTCATAATATAGGCTGCAGCCTGGCGAGTAGAGGCACACGCACGCTCTCTCGAGGTCTCTTGGAGCAGAGCCCCGGCGAGTCCTCGAAAGAGCCCAATGGGTCCTCGAAGAGGGTACCCTGGGTGGGCGGGGCCTCTACAATTGTACTCCAACGGGCGCTGGCTGAGCTCCAAGGCCCCGTTGTCCGATGAGCGCCCGCGACTGGGCTAGCCTGCGCCGCGACGTGGCCTGCGTAGTTTCGCGGTCAAAAGGGCGGCCTGCTGCACCGCCTGCGGCGTCGTCGCGGGCGCACAGCGCAGACGTTGAGCTGCTGCGCCACATTCAGGGATGCACGTCGGCCGAGGCTGCCATCGGATGCTTCGAGCAGCACGCTGACGAGCTCAACATCCGGCACGTGTCAGAGATCTTCAAACACATCGCGGACGACCGGAGATCGCGGCGGCAGTGTGGCCCGCCTGCGAGAGTGCTCGAGGCCGCCCGCCAGCTCGTCCGCGCCTGCGGCAAGAGGGACCTCCGCAATTTAGCATTCCTCGCCTGTCACATATCAAAGGCGTGCAAGGGCACAGAGCTCTCGATTGAAGCCAAGGCGCTCTTCCGTGCCATCGTGGAAGTTGCGGTGCGCCACGTTGAGTGCATCCGAGGGAGCGAAATGGCGGTGCTGACGCATGGAGTGGCGACGGCTGACATGAAAGCGCCGTGGACGCGCACCCTGCTCTGCACGCTCACCGAGCACCCTTGCACCGGGGAGCAGCTTCGCCACATGAAGACCAAAGAGCTGTCCAACTTCGTGTGGGTACTGAGCCAGGTGGGCGGGGAGGGCGTCCATGCCTTCTTGGTTGACGCCGTGCCTGTCATCACAACCAGCTTTCTCGACGAGCTCACTAGCTGGGACGCGTCGCAGCTCGCCTATGCGTACGCCAAGGCCGGCTGTCGCGCCGAGCCTCTCTTTGAGGCGCTCGCAGCGCGTGCTCCATCCCTGCTGCCGCACGCGCGCTCCGTGCAGGACATCGCCAATCTTCTTTGGGCGTTCGCGTGGCTGGAATTGCCCTTTGAGGAGCCGTTCGTGGCAACCTGCCGCTGCGCCAGCAGGCGATGCCAAGAGCTCAACGAGCAGGAGACGGCCACGGTCATGTGGGCGATGAGTAGCCGGCGGTTGGTTCTGCGCAGCTTGTGGCGCGACGGCTCAGTCTCTACCGACCTCGATCGCTTCCTCGACTCAATGGCCATGGTTGTGTTAGGGAAGCTGGATTCCGGTCAGATCCGATGCGGCGAGGCGCTGGCAAAGATCGCATTTGGCTTCAGCAACCTGCTGTGCACGGACGCGGGCTCACATTGGAGGCTCTTTGAGGCTATCGCGGAGGTGGCAGCTCGCAGCCTCAAGCAGCGGTCTGGCAGCTTGACCGCCCAGGACGCGGCGTGGCTTGCAATGACGTTTGCATGGACTAAGTTTCGTTCGCGGGCGTACGACGACTACTTCGTCGCCCTGAGCAACGCTGTTCCGTCCCTCTTCTCCAGAGGGTACGTGCCGCAGAACATCGGCAACCTCGCGTGGGCAGCCGCGCGGTACGCGCGAGTGAGGGACAGCGCGCGTGCCACGACCGTCTCCAGTCCGTTTGAGTGGCACCACCGCATCTTTGATGGCATTGCCTCCCTCGACTTTGAGCGGATGCAGCACCTCGGGCTGATGGACATTGCAGCAATCACCCACGGCCTCGCGTGCGGCGGATATGCGCACTTCGCCTGCCTTCAGCAGCTCTCGCATAGGTTGACCGACCTACTCGCAGAGACGAGTGGTGATGCGGTGGCGGACGCTGTGGAGGTGTCGTTGATCGCATGGAGCTACGCGGTCTCTTCAGCCGCTGCTGGACCGGCCCTCCTAGAGCAGACGTTTGCCGTTCTTGCGGCCGCCGCGTTGCGGTTAGTGTCCGCCTTCAGCCTGAAAGGCCTATGCCGGCTGGCGTGGTCGCTCGCCGTCGCAGATTTTGACCACCCAGCGCTCCTCTCGGCGTGCCACGAGCGGCTCGTCAGCCTGCTCGACTCGGACGGGCTTCGCGCCGAGGACTGTGGCGGCGAGAGAATGATGGGGTTGCGCGAGGTTGATGCAGGACATGCAGCCGCGGGCCAGCTGCAGCAGTGGCAGCTGTGGGCCGAGTATGAGCTCCATCGGCCCAACTTACTGTTGCCGTCACGGCACCGAGCTCAAGTTCACGAGGAAGCAGTCTCTCAGCTGCTGCAGTCTCTCGATACGTCACGGTTGCAGGCTGACGTGGGCGACCACCTCGAGCAGCCATATGCCTCCGAGCATATACTACCGCAGGGATACTCGCTTGACTGGGCGCGGCCTGAGGAGAAGATCGCGATCGAGGTGGACGGCCCATGGCATTTCATGCGCATGCACACGGGAGAGCACGTTCCCACGGGCGCGACCATCCTCAAGTTGCGGCAGCTCCGGGCCCTCGGCTGGTTGGTTGTCTCGGTGCCGTACTACGAGTGGCGAAGGCTCGGCGTCGGCGAGGCGCGAGAGGGCGATGCCCGCGAGGATCTGGAGGCGCTGCGCTGTGAGTACTTGCGCGATAAGGTGGCAGCGGCACGACCGGTGAGCCGAGCAGCCCACGCAAATAAGGAGGGACATTTACCGTGACTCGAGTAGTTGTCGAGTACGCAGTTGTTGAAGTGACCCTTAGTTAGTTAGTTAGGAAGGTGAAGAACTGACCGTATGTATGTAGGAAGGTGAAGAACAGTCAGGCTCGGACTGGACACCAACGCGGTATGGGTGGACGACTAAAAAAATCCCGACCAGCTAGGAGCCGAACCCAGGATGGCTGGAGGCTAAACGGGTGAAGCTCGGCTGTCCTCCCCGTTGCTCTCAGCCAGTCACATTGAGCTGAGGGTCCATGGGATTGCTCGTCGACCTGCCATTCTTCGACATGCACTGCCGATGCGAGATTGCATCCGTCCCCGGCAGCGTCAACTTGGCGAGCCTCGTCTGCGGCCTCCTCCTCGTGCTGCTCTCGTGGGTGTGGTACTCGAAAGGAAGGGCGCGCCTGCGAGCCGAGACGGAGCTGCGGGACGTGTCGACGGCGCTGGAGACGCTGGCGGAGCCAGTCATCATGATGCGAGGCCACACCATCACCTCTGTCAACCACGCGACGCTCGAGACGTTTGGGTACGACTCGAAGAGCGAGCTGGAGGGGCAGGGCGTGACGGTGCTGATGCAGACGCCAGAGGCGTCGAAGCACTCCTCCTTCGTGGACCGCTTCGAGCGCACCGGCGAGCGGCGCATCATCGGCAAGCCTCGCGTCGTGACGGGCAAGCGGAAAGACGGGTCGAGCGTCTCGCTGACGCTCTCTGTGTCGCCGTGCGCTGCGCCGGGCGAGTACATCGGGATCCTGTACCGCAGTGGCGGAGAGATGACACGAGCAGCGCGCGCCAAGGCCGAGTCGGAGCTGCGAGACGTGTCGACGGCGCTGGAGACGCTGGCGGAGCCAGTCATCATGATGCGAGGCCACACCATCACCTCTGTCAACCACGCGACGCTCGAGACGTTTGGGTACGAGTCGAAGAGCGAGCTGGAGGGGCAGGGCGTGACGGTGCTGATGCAGACGCCAGAGGCGTCGAAGCACTCGTCCTTCGTGGACCGCTTCGAGCGCACCGGCGAGCGGCGCATCATCGGCAAGCCTCGCGTCGTGACGGGCAAGCGGAAAGACGGGTCGAGCGTCTCGCTGACGCTCTCTGTGTCGCCGTGCGCTGCGCCGGGCGAGTACATCGGGATCCTGTACCGGCGCACCGAGGCGGAGGCGCGCGCCAAGGCCGAGACGGAGCTGCGAGACGTGTCGACGGCGCTGGAGACGCTGGCGGAGCCAGTCATCATGATGCGAGGCCACACCATCACCTCTGTCAACCACGCGACGCTCGAGACGTTTGGGTACGACTCGAAGAGCGAGCTGGAGGGGCAGGGCGTGACGGTGCTGATGCAGACGCCAGAGGCGTCGAAGCACTCCTCCTTCGTGGACCGCTTCGAGCGCACCGGCGAGCGGCGCATCATCGGCAAGCCTCGCGTCGTGACGGGCAAGCGGAAAGACGGGTCGAGCGTCTCGCTGACGCTCTCTGTGTCGCCGTGCGCTGCGCCGGGCGAGTACATCGGGATCCTGTACCGGCGCACCGAGGCGGAGGCGCGCGCCAAGGCCGAGACGGAGCTGCGAGACGTGTCGACGGCGCTGGAGACGCTGGCGGAGCCAGTCATCATGATGCGAGGCCACACCATCACCTCTGTCAACCACGCGACGCTCGAGACGTTTGGGTACGAGTCGAAGAGCGAGCTGGAGGGGCAGGGCGTGACGGTGCTGATGCAGACGCCAGAGGCGTCGAAGCACTCGTCCTTCGTGGACCGCTTCGAGCGCACCGGCGAGCGGCGCATCATCGGCAAGCCTCGCGTCGTGACGGGCAAGCGGAAAGACGGGTCGAGCGTCTCGCTGACGCTCTCTGTGTCGCCGTGCGCTGCGCCGGGCGAGTACATCGGGATCCTGTACCGGCGCACCGAGGCGGAGGCGCGCGCCAAGGCCGAGACGGAGCTGCGAGACGTGTCGACGGCGCTGGAGACGCTGGCGGAGCCAGTCATCATGATGCGAGGCCACACCATCACCTCTGTCAACCACGCGACGCTCGAGACGTTTGGGTACGAGTCGAAGAGCGAGCTGGAGGGGCAGGGCGTGACGGTGCTGATGCAGACGCCAGAGGCGTCGAAGCACTCCTCCTTCGTGGACCGCTTCGAGCGCACCGGCGAGCGGCGCATCATCGGCAAGCCTCGCGTCGTGACGGGCAAGCGGAAAGACGGGTCGAGCGTCTCGCTGACGCTCTCTGTGTCGCCGTGCGCTGCGCCGGGCGAGTACATCGGGATCCTGTACCGGCGGACGGACGCGGAGGCGCGCGCCAAGGCCGAGACGGAGCTGCGAGACGTGTCGACGGCGCTGGAGACGCTGGCGGAGCCAGTCATCATGATGCGAGGCCACACCATCACCTCTGTCAACCACGCGACGCTCGAGACGTTTGGGTACGAGTCGAAGAGCGAGCTGGAGGGGCAGGGCGTGACGGTGCTGATGCAGACGCCAGAGGCGTCGAAGCACTCCTCCTTCGTGGACCGCTTCGAGCGCACCGGCGAGCGGCGCATCATCGGCAAGCCTCGCGTCGTGACGGGCAAGCGGAAAGACGGGTCGAGCGTCTCGCTGACGCTCTCTGTGTCGCCGTGCGCTGCTCCGGGCGAGTACATCGGGATCCTGTACCGGCGCACCGAGGCGGAGGCGCGCGCCAAGGCCGAGACGGAGCTGCGAGACGTGTCGACGGCGCTGGAGACGCTGGCGGAGCCAGTCATCATGATGCGAGGCCACACCATCACCTCTGTCAACCACGCGACGCTCGAGACGTTTGGGTACGAGTCGAAGAGCGAGCTGGAG